TTAATTGTAAATAAACTAAACGCTGCATAATACTGCGACCTATTTAATTCCCAAGAATTTTAATTTGAGGTTGCTACTCCTTATAGTTGCTGCTATACTTGAAGCTGGCTAGCCACTAAAACGCCATGTTTCATTGTTCGATCTTATAATGACCGTTAAAGATCAAAGAAAAGACATTACGATTTCATCAAGCTATTCTTTTTTTAAACACCTCGAATATTTATATCCCTTGAAAAAACGAAAATAGAAAGCAAACCGCCCCCCCCCCCTTACCCCACCCTTTTAGTACAGCTCAGTATTCGGCCGGAGGTTGGCCTAATCTTGTACCCAGATTTCAGTGTGTTTTACGTTAGGAGACCTGAGCACGATATTATGTTTGGCCTTAATAACTTAATAAGTCAGATTGTCCAGGCCCATTCTCGGAGACCCAAGGGTAGTCAGTCGGGCAGGGGAGAAAAGGCGCGACAAAAGATTTCAAGCGCAGGCGAAAGAGCCCTTCTTCCGCTCGTGTTTAAAAACGTTTTCGTCGCGCCTTTTCTCCCGGTCCGACTGACTGCCCCTGGGTCTCCGAGGATGGTTCCATTAAGCAGGAATAAAATAACCCAGGACTGAGACGCATTAATTAAATCAAATCTGAACGCTTGCGATTAGTGTCAATTCTTTTTGCCTATAATCTGATGCTTGGGCGCTCTAAACGACTGGTCAAAATTGACAGGTAAAATGCTTTTGAAGGAAAGAAACAGGATCCCATTAAGATTTAAAGGGAGACGTGTTAAATCAAATCGAACGCAGTCCATTAGTTCATTTTTTTAAATTTTGCCGATTACTCGCCCTTTGAAGGAAAGCTAACCCTGATTTAAAGGGGCTAACCAGTTCAAATTTTGCCAATTAAATCGCTAAACTTAACGTAAGTAAATGAAAAAAAATGACAAAATCAGAGATCTGACAGAAACAAAAATGTCTCTTGAGCATTATTTTTGAAGTTGCAAGCAGCAGGAATCAACCTTGAAAAACTGTTAGGGTGAACAGTTTTCTAAAATCCTAATTTTAGTCCGTTTCAGTCTTCTTCAGTTTTGCCCATCAGTGGCATCTGTTGTTTCTGTTATGTTATTTTAACCTTCCTTTAAAGTTTTAAGCGGTTATGTTTATGTTTCTCTTAATTTAACAGGCATTTTGTAATTTCCTAATTTGGTTGAATTTCGTGACACAGCTCCTTTAAAATTTAACCAGCACGGGTTAGCGCTAATCGGCCTTCGAACGACCTAAGTTCAGGCATGCGCAATGCATTGGAATACGTCACTTAGGAAACGAGAGGAAACTGGGTTAAGTTAGTTTTCGCAAAGACTTGTGGGATCGTTACTTGGGAGGCGCTGGTAGGCTTTTAGGGTGTAGATGAAAGATAGACTTCGTATCCTTTCACTTTTTTGCGATTATCCTAAGTCGCACAGTTACTTAAAAGAAGGGAAGCTACAATAGGTTGGAGCTGAAGAGAAAGGGACCGCGCTGAGTTCAGACAGAGACTTGCCCCATTGCCGTTCCCGTTCTCAAGTAAACTTAGAATTTGGACATTTCGCGTCGTAGTTGAGCAGGGACGGCAAAGAAATGTACAGAAAAGCGTGATGGAGAGTTGTCTTTTTGCTTATTAAACCCATTGCCGTTGCTGTCGCCGTTGTAGTTTCGTAAGGTCCCTATTGGCCCTAATAGTCCCAGAAGCGTTTATTGCTAACGTTAGCACGGCCTAGTTTCCTTTGAAGTGGCGAATTATGGGGGAAAGTTTTAAACAGTCACGTAATACACTCAAAAATAGTAAAACACGGATGAGAAATAGCACGCTGACTTAGCGTTATCTTGGTTTAAGAAGAAGAGCAAGAAATGTTATAGCGCCATAGAGGGCAGATAGAGAATAAGGCTTTTAGGTGCCGTGAGGTTTTGGTCCTACCGGTCCGAACCAGCTCGATACACTCAGCTTGGAAGATAGGTTGGGCTCTAGTCACGCTTTTGTCACACGGAGAACGAGTTCGTCACGTTGACAGCGGAGCGGTATTCCAAGGCAATTAATGTTGTGGTTCAATTTTATCCTACGTTTTAAGTAATGGTCTAGATAAGAAGGAAAGGACCAAAACGCAGTGAACACGTCGGAATGCAAAAAGGTGCTAACTTTACTATTGTCTCTACTAAGGTTCTGATTGGTTTAAACATCAAATTTTACGAAATCTTCGCAAAGCAGCATGTATATTAATCCCTTTTTTTCTATCCAACTTCCTTATAACAAAATCTCGTCTGAGTCTAAGTAACACAAAAATCGCATGTGCGGATCATATAAAATTGTGAACATTTCTTGGCCATTGTTTGCAACTCTTGTGATTGGTCGAAATGTTTCAACACAAAATTAAACCCTTTAAAAGTGGAGTTTAAATACATTTTCTTTCGTAAACAGCCTTTTTGTACATTTATGCATTCTCTGCGTAAAAATGAAAATATTTCTATGTGAGGAAAGCGTATTGCGCCACAACAAAAGAAATTCCTTCCCTTCTTACCTGGATCATTACTTAATTCTATTTCCCTTTGTTTTAAAACTCATTAACATACATTACCATACCCCAAAACAAAGGGAAATAAAATTTCGACAAAGGATAAAATTGAACTACATTAGCGCAACATGGAGTGTTGTCGCTCTTTTCTTTGCGCTTATTAACAATGTGTAGGAACCGCGTCGTCAATTTACGGTGACATTAATGTGTAGCCTATGGTAGATTACAGAGCTGTTGAGTCTATTTTTCTTATAATGTTTGGATAAATACAGCATTCTTTTGACAGGTTTCCGGCTTTTATTAAAGGGCGGCGTTTATTGGCAATTTTGTTTTATCTGCGGCGACAATCCTTTTAACCTCTTGAGAACTTGTTTTGCCAAACTATCAATAGAAAGGTCTCGCGAGGGAAGAGACGAGGGGACCTCCCTGTTTTCGTTTTATTCTGGGACCTGTTTGAAGGATTGTTCGCTTTAATTGAGAAGTCGTCGGCTAACCGTAGACGATCCCTCAGCCTATTTTGGGGTACTGACTTCCACACAATTTTAAGACAAAAACTGTAACGGGTTTACAGGCGCCCATGTACGTAGAAGTATAGGACTAAAGAAAACCCTAATTACCTTTTGGGTAGCTTATTCAGGTTCCATCAAGAGCCCATGGCCTCCTCTTCTGTAAGAACACTGGAGTTGCCAGGGGCGTACCTGACTGTAAGCCAGTTAACTCACGGGCTTAAAACATTTTTGGGGAAATTTCATTCTCACAATTATTTTGACGACGCCAGTGTCGACAACAACTCTGGAAATCATTTAGTTGTATGTGAAGGGTCAAGACGTACTTGCGCTCTACTATACGAGCAGAGAGGTCCTCTGGGCTCGCGCTTTTACATGCGTTGTTCGGGAGTTCTGCTCCAGGCCACTGCCTTTCATTTTAGAATGCCACGCTAACACAGTTTTGTATTTGTGTTCATCATGATATTGTATAGAAGTAGGGAAATACAACATTTATGTAAAGTGATTGTAACTCAATAAAGGACCAACTGAAGTTACTTTACGCCCTGTAAATCCCGGCTCTTGTACCGGTGTAAATTAATAAGCGCATATCAGCAACATTCTATGGTAGAGGGCTTAAAGCTGGAAAATGCCCAGGAACGCCCCTGGTTGCCGAAGTTAGAAATTTTTAGGTTCCTTTCCCTATATCTTTCTAGTTTTCATAAAAATATCTCTCAAATTACAGGTCATGTTTTAGTAAAATTTTAGGTCTTGTGATATTAATTCGGGCCTCGCTATTCTTTGGGACATCACAGTCAAACATACAAACAAGCGAAACTAAGGTTTGATGTTCCTTTAAAATTAATATGTTCCAGATATAAATTATTTTACAAAAGACGAACGCAAAAGTGGGTTGAAATTTCTCTCCAAATATATCGAATTGAGTGACAGAAAGTTCGAATGAGACACTTGTTGGAAAGACCTTTGATTCCCAAAAACACCAACATTTTACTGTCAAATAATTTCATAAACAATGGCTGATTTTAAAAGATCACGGCGTCGTTTCTTCTTTTGATTTAATTTCCACCCAATCAAGAGAAATGTGAAAGATCTACTCAACTACCAATAGTACTATTGACCGACAGCATACAGAGTGGGGGCAGCTGCGGTGGTGTCAACTAACATAACTAGTTGTAATTGTGTTACGACGCCTGAGAGTATGGAAGGAAAAACCACTCGAGTCTCTTGATATTTTCCGGCTAAACTAAAGCTATATTTTGGCAAGATGTTAAAAAAATAAAAAAAGAGAGAGAACGAAAACGTTTCTCAGATACAGATTTAGTAATTCTAAGCAACATTTCAATTTTCTTGGAATGAATCTCTACCTGGTTCAAAATATAGCTCATTTTACGGGTTACATGATTATGGCAAGTCTACATTAGAAAGGCAAAAATGGGTGGGAAAAAAGGTTGAAAGAAGATTAATTATAAATAAGCTAAACGCTGCGTAATACTACGACCTATTTAATTCCCAAGAATTTTCAGGTTGTTCAGACTTCTTTCTTCTAATCGAGCAAAAAATAAATTAAGCAAAAATCGATATCTTTCTTAACAAACCGAAGCTAAAAAGGACTGGGAAAAAGGAATCGATATCAGAAATTTTACTTAAAATTATAACATATGTCCCATTCACATGATATCTTTATAAAGTATTACGTCGTGAAAAATTATCATCTTAATGACTAAAAGGATTTCTTTCAAAGTACGTTTGTCTGTGCTTTTGTTACTGTTATGAAACCACGTTTCCGTTCACTATAAGACTTGACGAAGCCGAATGATATCGGACCTCATTAGCTTTTGCCCAAAATGTTAATACTATGCACGCCAACTGTAAAAGCACATACATTTAGGAAATAATCTCATTTATGTCAATTTGCTCATAATGTTAAAGCTTAGTAAATTACTTATGAGCAATGACTTCAGCCATGGCCTTTCCTAAAGTGATAGCAGCGTTCCACGCAATCTACGATGTGATCGGTCTTCCTGGTAATTTATTGGTCATAGTGACTATCATCTTGGAATCAAGATTTCATGTGATGCGATATATTTTACTGGCAAGTCTCGCTTTATCAGACTTTCTGCTGTTGGTCCTCGTCAACTCATTCCGCATCGAGAGCATAGCGCAAGAACAATGGTTATATGGCCAAACAATGTGTCATCTCAACCCATTCTTCATGAGGTATTTCTACATTAACACGATTCTTCACTTGGTCGCAGTGTCTTATGATCGATACCTAGCGATCGTCAGGTCTCCTTTGACGTATTATGGCAACATTACAAAAACCAGAGTAGCATTTATGGCTCTCATCTGGATAATCCCGATTCCGTTTACAATCGGTCCATTCCTTGGTTGGGGAAAATACGTTTACAATCCAGAGGTGTTCTACTGCGAGCACAGTGAAACAAATAGAGGAAAAAGGGGTATTCTACCGATCGTTACCCTTACAGTACCTTTCCTTTACATTGTCTTCCTAAACGTTTCAGTATACCAGACGGCGAGAAGACAGATATACGACATGGAAGTCCATGTGCGTGGCCATGAAGGTGCTGAAGGCCTTCAACAACAAGAGAGGATAACAAGGCGACTAACGGATCGCAAGGCAGCTGTTGATGTCGCCATCATCATCGCCGCATTTCTGGTGTGCCTTCTCATAGTCCGTATTACAGCTCTTTGTCGCCAGGGAATAGATGTTCCAGCCGAGGCAGTTCATGTTACAACGTGCATTTACTTCCTAAGTACACTATGCAACCCTATCATCTATTCCATCCGTAAACGAGAATTTCGTAAAGCAGTGAAGAAAATTTTCAGAAGGGCTGGAGCTTGTCGTGATTCTAACGAAAACGGCACAATTTGACTTAAAATTTTTAGCCTGCGTAGCAAGTGCCGTTTTTTTCAGGGCGAAGAGAGAAATTTCGAGGACGCGCGCACGAAAATTGCGAGAAGTGACAACAAGACAGCACAAAAGTCGTCGATTCACAAATCATCTCAATCTTTTCTTTCTTTTGTTATTAAGACATAAACGAAAGTGCAGATTTTCTGCTGAGTAAACTTCCGTGGGGCATGTATTTTCCATACTGCACTTTCTCCCTCAATTTGCTCATGTGCAAAAGTGTCCGCTTTTTTCCATCATGGGTTTTTAAAACTTTTTCAACGTTGGGTTTTGCCAACGTTATAATCTAGGAAAAGCCGCACGGAGGTGGGACAGTGTAGTCTTGTTGTAGTCTTATCCAGCGGTAACCGCTAGTTTATGGTTTGTGGTACTTACTTCCACATCAATGCCATTGAGGTAGCTTTTAGACAAGCAACATAAAACAGGAATATGAAATTCCTACTAAATAATGTATAACTACAAAAACAAAAGGGATCGATTTAGATATAGACATAAAAACTGAAAACATTTAATAAAAAAAAGGGTCTGCGACGACTTTATGTCACTGAATTGTCAAATGTAAGAAAATTAACATGGGTGGCGAATAAATAAGAAAAAAAAAAGTGTGAAAAAGTACGCATGCATTAAGCAGGAAAAAGAGTAAAAATGGCGGAAGAGGTTGACAATCAGAAATAAAAGGTTTCATACTGAATGAGTTGTGCTTGCATGTTTAAGTATCAGTCTATTTGATTCTTTTATAATTAGACTTAAAAAAAAGTTAAACGCTCAAGCAGTCAATCTCCCTTGGCATTACTTAAAAATGTTTAAGTTCTCATTAAGTTGGCCCAGTGTACTGGATACAAGGACAATAGGTAATTTAAGGTTGATCCAGTAATGAGAGCTGAACTGCCGAGAGAAGCTTTTAAAATTTTAATTTGCAGATGATCACTAAGAACCGACACTTATATTAACACTCGAGGAAACTCCACTAGCGCCAAATTTTTTGATGCAGTTGTCAATAACAACGTCACGGTGCGGACACTCCAACCCGGACACTTCAAAGAATATTGTCGAATCACCTTTTCTGAAAACAAGGATTCTGAACTTTATTTGCAAACGAACCAATAAAATTCAAGGCTCAACTATGCCACCGTTAACAACTTTAAAGCCGTTCGAACTTACCTGACCTCTCCAGAATGAGCCCTTAATTTATGAATGTTATTGGTCTGTTTGCATGCAAATAAACTTGAAAATCTCATGTTTTCAGAAAACGTTATGATTGGACAATCTTCTTCCATGTGTCCCGGTTTGAGTGTCCGCACTGTGAGGTTCTTGCCTCTGATGATACAATATGCAATTACTTTTTTGAAATGATCAGGTTTAACTTGTTTTTCCTTGATTTTTGAGAAGTGATTTTCACCCCAACAAACAAGGAATAAGGGGAAAACAAACAGGGAATCGAAAACTTTACTGAAAATAATACATGTGTTCCAATCATATGATACTTTTCTAAAGTAGTATCACAATATTTTGGTGTTCATTAAATAAAAGCGATTTCTTGGAAACTTTAAGTCAATATATCCTGTGTTTTTTGTTATGGTGTAGAATTAAGTGAACATGAGCATCATGAACGGAACGAAAGATGTGACGAACTTTTCCCAAGAAAAATTTAAATGTTATTTGCAGTGTCAATTTTAAAAGCACATACATTTGATAATAAAAGGGAAAAAAACATAAAAACCTATATTTATGTTACATTACATTCATAAACAAAGTACACAACGAATAAGCCATTTCAGCCATGGTCTTTCCTCAAGTGATAGCAGCCTTTCAGGCTGTTTTCAACATAATCGCTCTTCCTGGAAATTTATTGGTTATAGCGACGGTCATCTTGGAATCAAGCCGGTGATTTTATGTTAAGCGATATGTTTTACTAGCTAGTCTAGCGTTATCGGACCGGCTGATACTAATCCTTGTTTTTAACAGTCATTCCGCATCGGAATTACAGCGAAAGAAACCCTGGCTCCTAACACACGTCACGCAAGTAACTAGTTTAGACTGAGTGATTGTATTACTTGTATATCATTCTGTTACCGGATGTTGAACTTAGTACGTTATTCGCACGGCAATAACACTCAATGCTCACAGTTCGAGCTGCACACCCATTCCCGTCTGGTAGTAAAGAATATAAAGAGGAAATAAGGTTGTCATGGAATACACATTCACAATAACGCCAAAAAAAGGCGGCTAACATTATAAACAATCGAGGCCATTTCCCTTCAATTGAGGAAGTTAATGAACAGGCACAATAGACCTTATTCACGATACCCGCCATCTTTTCGAATCTTTGGACACGCTTACGCGCTAATTGGATAAAAGCATATGCCAAGTTGCACTGGGGCAAACAAGCCAATAAAAAAATCGTGGTTGTGTTTGTTTGGACAAGGAATAATTATGTTGTTGTTTTCTTTTGAATAAGAGCAATTCGTATCTCTCTTTGTAAATCCATTTTACTAATCGGCTTGAGCCGCTCCTTAAGAATCAGCTGTAATTATAGTTGATTTTACTTCTCAACCATACTTCTATGTCACTGATTTGTACAACAAAAAGAGCGATCAGTTTTCATCCATCCATTTCAATAAAAGCAAATCGAATCACTTCTCACTATAGCGGACAAACTCGAACCGTGACTTGGTTGTATAAACATGCGGCACCGAAGAAAGACGAAAAAGCTAACCCCGGATCAAATTAAAATATATTAAGATTTGAACTCGAAGCTTTATGTAGTGCAAAATAATTATTAATTTTCTTTTAGCAGAACCACTTGTAATAAAATAATAATAATAATAGTAATAGTAATAATAATAATAATAATAATAATGGTCTTTAAAAAATTGATTGAAAAGTCAAACCTCAATCAAAAGCCACTGTAAAACGAATACGACAAAACTGCGGCGATTAAAATGACAACTGAATTTAAAAAATTCAACGTCTACGCTTATTTCGAGCAGGCCTACCTTTCTTAGGCAATGTTGACACTAAAAATGATGGCTTTTCGTGGTGACACAAAAAGCTTTGAAAACCTCTTCGATATGTGACTCTCCGCTTGAGAGATCATCGCGGCGCATCTTCGCTCTATTATAGAAATAGCGCTGAAATTACCGTACGGTTCTTATGTGTGCTAAGAAATCGGCCTTTCCGTGCATGGTTACTGAGTTGTCAGAAGTGCGTTTCATGCCGGTCACAAGTATGATTTCTGGTAATTTCCCTCGGAAATCTTGACTGATTTTAATAGCTTGTATTTTCTACTTCCACTTCAAATTTTCTGTCACAGTATACCCTGGCTCCAGAGGTCCGTTCTCGAAATAACTAAGATGAAATAGACCGTGCTCCTGGTGCTCACGCTTTGATTTAGCTCCCGAGACGGACGTTTTATTTTTCTATCGGCGTTCATGCCTCGTTGAGCGGCTTCACCGCGAACCATCAGTATTTATCAGTATCGATAAGAAAAAAATAAACTAATGACTACATAAAACAACTCGCAGTAGGTGTGACTTTCAGTAATTTAAATTATTACATGAAAATTAGACGACAGAATAAATATTTTACCGTGAAACTATGAATATTGCATCAATCTTTACTAACCTTTGGTTTTCAGTGTGTTACCTTGACGAAAGTCTTTTCCATTCACGTCTTTTTCCTTGAAGTTACAAAATATGGCAAAGTAAGTTGGATATTTGTGAAAGACTCTCCGTCCAAAGCATTTTTAATTCGAGTCTTCCTTTGCCAAATAAATATTTTTCACAAATTTTAAACGTGGCGCGCTGTACAAAAATAGAAAAGCGTTTCTGATTGGCTTGTTTAATGCACGTGCTAGCGACATTTTTGCTTGCAATCATAGTTAATTATATGCATCCTTCTCTTGGTTGTTCAGTTTTAATTCAAACAGTTTTTCAAATTAATACAATTTTGAATCTGACGAAGATATGAGACACGTGGAAACATGGCTAACAAACTAAGTGAAAAGCGTCGTAATAGTTTTGAAACTCGTCATTCATTTATTGTTTTTTCGAAAAAATTGTGTTGTATTGAGAGATTTTAGAATTCACTGTTTTCGCCGAGACCATTATGCACCATGTTTACCTCCCAAACTTTTGCATGACCATTGACTTCGATTTCTCTTGGGACGACTGTACTTGATCCAGGAGGAATTAGAAACAATGGTTATGTAAAATTTTGGGTTTAAACACGGTGAATTATGGTGCAGGTCTCGTGTGAAAAGAGTGAACACAAAAATTCTATAAATCCTACGGAACCGCAATCCTGCTCAGGGCTTTTTTTTTTTTATCCTACTCCCCTTTCTAGGACTTGCAACAATAGAGGAAGGCCCCATTTAACTTTTAGTATAAAATTCCCTTGTTGTTTTTTGTTTCATATTATTTTCTGCTTCCTAGCAAACTGTAGGGGTACCCTGGTTGGGAAATTCTTCGAATCTGTCATGATGAGAGCAAGCCAGAGGGATGGGGGGTGGGGGTAGGGGTGGTGCGAGGTTGGGGTTAGGGTTAGGGTTATGTCGCCTAAAAAATATGTACCGTCCAACAGGGTTAGTGTTTGGATTCCTCCTAGAACAAAGTGTGAACCTTGGCGATGCGCAGTGTATAAGTGTGTAACCTGCACCACAGACGAAACTAAACACTATTTAAGTCGGAAGTCTGCGAACCAGCGCCAAAATCCTTGTTCTGGGGCCTCCACCCGTGTACCAGGATTTGAGTACGTGTCATGGTTGGCCTGTTAATTAAAAAAGCCTTGGTCGATTTTCCAATCAGGTTGAAAGGAAATTCGAAATGTACTTCCGATAATTCGTCGGGACCCAGAAGAAGGATCTCAGCACTGTTTCGCAAACGTTACTAACCGAGATTAATATATTGATTAAAATACGTCTTCGACGCAGGCTATACACTTTCTCAAAACCCGTTTCTGGTTTCTGCTTGTTAGTCCCGACTTCTTCGCTCGATCGGTTTCGCTCGCTTCGCCTTCGGCACCCACGCAGTCGACTTACACCGCTCGACTAGTGGCTAATTAACTTGTGGCAAGTCTACGCAGGTTACAGTATAGAGTGTTTTCACATGACGTCACGGCGGCCATATTGGTGTCCCAAAACAATGAAACGGCGGCCATGTTGGTGTCCCAAACCAGTCCTGTGGGAGTTGAACTCCTTTCTTATGCAAACGCTTTCTTTTGTTCCAAACAATTTGCATAGATGCTGGCCACGTGAGTGAAAACACTCTATACCAGAGAAAAGAGGCCTCTGCTAGCAGGCTGCTAGCATGCAAATCACCCAGTGAAATGGAAATCCAAGAGAGTCTTGGATTCTGGATTCTACGCCGTGGATTCCGGATTCCAAGGCACTTGATTCCAGTCCTTGTCAGTGGAATTTAGATTCTGGATTGCAAGCCTTACAAGGATTGCGGATTCCTTGAGCTGTATTCTGGATTCCAAAGACGAGGATTTCAGATTCCACAAGCAAAAATTTCACTGGTTTCGGAATCCGGACTCCCTTAAATCGGGCGAATGGTCCCTTACATGGGGCGAATGGAAAGGCTACAGGTGTGGTACTCACATTTAATCTTTTTCTTTTCTAATTTTTTCTTAATCAGTTTTAAAAAAATAACTTCATTCGGTTTCGGAAAATGAAACGAATCAGGGTTAGGGGGAAAGGTCTCCTGTCTTAATTAAACATGGGAGCAAAATGAACCAAGACTACTGATCTTAAAAACAGATAAACGGCAAACTTATCCTGACGGCAAAGCGACGAGGAAGCTTACAGGGAGACGCCCCTGCATTGGAACAGAGTTATACTCTTCAGGATTATATGCTTCTGTTTTGTACAATCGTTTAAATAGAAACTTAGCTAAACAAACTTGAACTGCAAAATGATCACTATCGTAGAACAACTTTTAACTTAATTTAACTTAAAGAGTGTCTAAATGGGCTTTCAACCGACGTATATTGGTAAGCAAGTTATGAGTTTCCCTTTAACAATGAAAAAAATTACAAATAGTGCCTGGTTATGATATTTTTCGTGGGCAACTAGTAATTTTGGGTGCGTGACACCCGTCCAGCACTTTTTCTTCCAATCCAATAGATCGTCCTTGATCGTCCTTCTCATGATTTCCTGTCCAATCAAACGCTGTCGTTGCCGTTTAAATCTGAACAAGCTCCGATCATTCTGAACATTTTCCTCACCGCGTTACGGAATTCTCTTTTACGGATGGAATAGATGATTGGGTTACATATTGTGTTGAAGAAGAAAATGCACATTGTGACAAAAACTACCTCGGGTGGAAAATTGATTTCTGGGACAAACTGGCTACAAACACCTCTAATCGAGCCCGGGAGAAAGCACAGAAAAAACGCGGTGATAATGATGGCGACATCGACAGCTGCCTTTCGATCTCTTAGTCGCCTCGATGCGATCTCTTGCTGTTGAGGGCTTTCAGTATCAACAGGGCCACCTACTCGGACTTCCATCATGGCTTTAATCTGTCTTCTCACTGTTTTGTACACAGATACGTTTAGAAACACGATGATCAGGATTGGTACAAGAAGGATCGCGATGAATGACACGATCATGTTTGTGGAGGAACCAGTCTGCACAGCCCATTGCTGCTCGCAGAAGAATACCTTTGGGTTGTAAACGTATTTTATATTACCACGGAATTGACCGAAAGAAACTGGAATCACAGGGATTATCCAGATGAGAGCCAAAAACATCACTCTCGTCTTGGTAACGATGCCATCGTACGTCAAAGGCGACTTGACTATCGCTAGGTACCGATCATAAGACACTGCTACTAAGTGAAAAATGGTGTTGATATAAAAGTATCTTGCAAAGGACGAGTTGAGATTACACATTGTTTGACCATACAACCAATTTTCTTGTGCTATGCTTTCGATGAGGAATGAGTTCACGAGGATTAACAGCAAAAAGTCCGATAAAGCGAGGCTGGCAAGTAAAATATACCGCATCACATGAAATCTTGGTTCCAAGATGATCGTTACTAGGACAATGAAGTTACCAGGAAGACCGATCAGGTCGAAAAGTGCGAGGAAAGCGGCTATCACTTGAGGTAAAGCCATGGGTGAAATAGGTGATGAGTCATGTGCTTTGCATTGCTTGACTGTTTTGAGCAAAGTAACACAAATGAGTTTGCGGTATTCTTAAATGTATGTGCTTTTACACCTGACTTGAATATTATAAAAAAATTTCTCGCACAATGGTCGCTCTTAATGCTGACGGAAAATGGTCCAAAACAGTAAGAAAACGGAGGCCTTGGCTATAAAAGAAATAGCCATTTCGTTAAGTCGCAAAGATTTTACTAAAACTTTTACTTTATTGGCCAACAGATTATGTGCTATTATGATCTCTTGTAAAAATATACGAAACATATGTAAAATTAGATAAATTTCCCTTAGCCTCGTTTCGCTTCGTTTTTAATATTATTTTCGGGAACAAAAGAATCACTTTGTATGGATAAAAATCTTTTTTTTAAAGAAAAAGGGACAAAGAATCTGATCGACATTAACCTTCACGCAGACGTTTAACTATTGTAACAGGAAACGTTTGTAAGCAGCCGCTCATGTAGACTTAAAATCACAGCTATTGTGTCAATCATGAAAATGAAGTAAAACCTTTGACGTCCTTGAGAAACATATGCCGCACTCGATTTGTCAGCTAATTTCGTTTAGTTATTTTTTCTGCAATATATTTGGACAGTTAAATTTTTGTTTATCTTCTGCTGTACTGAGATTACACCAGCCTCCGCATTAAGAAAAAAAAAAAATCGGCGAGCGAAGAGAGCTGAGCGGTAGTCCACCGCTCCGCTCGCTTCGCCCTCTAATTATTTTTTTTTCTGTTTCACCCCGTTTTTTGCCTTTTTCCCCCACTTTGGGGTCTGGTCCCAGGCTACGATTACCCTTTTTAAAGTAAATAGTTAAGTAATCTAAATTTTAAAAAATAATAATAATAAAATGATAACAGTGGTTGTTATGAAAATAAATAATTCTAGCTGAAAACATGGAACCACTTTACGCACCATGAGTAACTTCAAAATGACTATTTAGAAAATCACAGCGGATAAAACGTTAAAGGATGGATGGCAAAAAAAAAAACACTTTTGTTCGCGCATGAAAATCGAAAGTTGAAAACGGAAAACAGTATTCAACTCAGACAAAAGAAAATCTGCACTTTTATTTACTAGGCTTTGATTCATCGTTTACTAGAAACGAAACAAATTCGAACAGGACGTTAATTTCGATACTTAGAGGCATTAGTCGATGTTTGGCTTCCCTGGAAAAATCCACAGGTGAATTCTCAACAGTATGTAAAAACTGAGTGCTCTGATGTGGCTTAGGGCCTATAATCACGATTTCGGCTTGTGACTAGTTCAAATCTACAAGGTTTGTTTAGAGTATTCCGGATACGCTTTTGTTTCACGCGCGTCTTGTGACATGCAAGTCAGCTAAGAAATGGTATTTAATGCGCATATGCATCAGCTGACTGTGTCCCTTTAAACCTCAATCCAAGTGAGAAGTAAGTGTTAATGTTGGCTTAGGGGAGGGGTAGGTGGGCAGTTTCCCAGTAACGTATCTTAAGTCTTGTTATCCGGCCTTCTTTTGTTTTCCATGCATTTACTTTGGAGTATTTTTAGACGCTTCAGATGACGTAACCTTTGTCCAGCACAACTGACTTTTCTTCCATTCAAACTGCAGCCATGAAATCGGGCGGCGACGAAAGGAATAAATGTTATGGTATGCGGTCAACAACTGCCCAATTACTTGGATATATAATATCAGTGTTCAGTGCTTTCCTGTACTATTATTTTCAAGAGGTTGAAAGTAAACACGATGTTAATTTATAGGAGGTGCTATAAAGGGGATTAAAGTAGAACCTCGATAACTCGCTCTGATGGGATTCCAGTTATCGGGTTTGATTGAATGGTCACTTTGCCATATTAATAGCTCATGGTTTACCGTAAACTTCCAATTATAATAGCCCTCCTCTCCCCACTTGTAAGCTCTCTAATTTAAACTGCCTCGCCTCTAGTCGCTCGCGATCGCTGGGGGATATTGAGTTCCCATCATCCCTCTCTCGTACTTTTCGCTTGTCTCGCTCGGCTTGTCTCGCGCGCTAGCGTGTTCTCCTACTTAGCCTTGGGAAGCCTGTGGAAGAGGCAGCTCATTTATAGGCCCATCTACCGGTAATCAAAGAATACATGCGTTTATAAAAACTGGTAACTTAGTCCTCTACAACCACGCCCAAAGGGCTTTCGCTTAGATGGAATGACTCAGTTCAATTAGATCAAAATTTTGCCTTATAGTTATTTAACAATGTACATTAAAAAAAAAAAAAAGAAGAAGAATAGTTGATAAAAATGGGTTCGCATCCCGTTGAGGTTCGGGATTTTTTTTCGGGTTAATTTGCAGTTGCTTAAATTTCAATTACCACTGCGACGATCATATCTTCATTTGAAAAAATAACAATAAAGTATTTAATTTCACTGATTCAAGACAATTTACAATATCAGCAGCAACAAAACAGTGCTTGGCAACTTTTGAATCATAAAAATAAAATAATAATAATAACTAAATAAATAAATCTACCTGGAGTTTTAAAAACCGGGTTGCCTGAAATCTTAAGTCAAGTCCAGCACATTGCAGGCAATCTTTCAAAACTTAATTTGCTTAAAGCCCTGATACTTTTAGTGTAAAAATAACAATCTCACTCTTCAGGACTAACCACCCTCACCTCTTAAACATGGGCTCCAAAAAACTTCCTGGAATTGACAGAAATCAGTGCAAATTCCAGAAAATTTGCACGAGGGCAGCAACAGCCCGGCCCGCCCCCGTTGGCCCAGCTAATATTTTTTGAGGGGGGCTTCCGTCAAACTAAGCGTCATGTTGTTGAACAGTCATGGGGCTTTCATCTGGTATGCATTTGGGGTAGTCTGGTTAAATTCCAGGGGGGTGGGGTTGTTGTAAAGACTATGCTTTGTGCTAGAGTGCAGATTTGCTGAGTTTTGTACCTGGGCTTACCCCTGTCTTTCAAAGCTCAATGTCTCCCTCAAATTAAGGGGGGGTTGTGTCTGGCTGGGTGCCATGTTGTTGCACAGACACGGGGCTATCGTCTGGTATGCATTTGGGGTAGCCTGGTTAAATTCCAGGGGAGTGGGGTTGTTGTAAAGTTTGATGTGTTTTTGCACTCTTATGCAGTTTGTTTGTGCTGTTTGCATGCAATGCAATGACCCACTCTGTTGAAAATGTTCCTAGTCAGCAAGCAGTTGAACTGCTGGTTTTAGGACTTGGTTTTGTTGAGCAGAGTTGGCTTAGATTGTTTTTGGGAGACCAGCTTCAATTAAAAATGGGGTGAACTGGTGAATTGGCTTTGCAATCGGTGACACCGACACTAAAAATTGCTTCTTAAAATGCCTTATTTTCCAGATTAATGAGGAAAATTTCACTTTTGTTACCTTCAAGACTGACGATTCTATCAAATGGAAGCTCATGTATTCAATAATTTCTTTTTGACGTGAGATTTGACTTTTCAAGTAACAATGGCCATCAAATTAACAATCAGTGCGAGAGACTGACATTTTTTAGTAGCCCGGTTTTCAAAAAACTAGGTATAAATAAATAACAAAAATAAAAAGGTCGTTGATGGGAGAAAAAACCCGAAATATTTTGGAATATTTTGGAAAGCTTACCCTTCCCGTATCTAAAAAGTATCTAATCGGTGAAGTTAAAAGAGAGTGGAGTGGCATATTTTGAAAACGCTATTTCTTTTGCTTTTCTTTCCTGTTTTGTTTTTGTTTGTCTTTTTTTTGCTCTCTGACAAAAAAAGTTCTCCAAGTTATAGGCATTTTCAGTCATAATTATTACATTATACTGTCTTTTTTTAAATTGGATGGATCTCGCTATTTGTTGGGATATAGCAGTGTTAGGTAGCATATAATTTAACGAGATTAGAATGGCATAGGAAGAACTCATTCAGTATTAAAATTTAAAGATTATAGTTACTTTATAATTTACCTCGTCAAAATAACAAAATGACAGTAAATCAAAAGACAACGGTCTATAGTTAGGGATAAAAGGTAATTAGTTGACAAATGATTCGAAAGGTGCGCTCGTTATCAAATATTCTGTTAATCGCAGAGGAAAGTTAAGGTTTTTACTTCAACGATTGCGGTTTTGCAGTGATCAGAGATTGCTTCTTCTTCCTTCAAAAATTATTTTCACTGTTTCAAAGAGATTAAATACAAACCAAACAACCAAAAAACCCTAAATATATATTTTCTAAAGAAAACAAAAGTGAAAAAAAACCGAAACTAAGCTTTCAGGAATTTTACAAGATTTTCCATATGTTACTCCCTGCGTTTTAGTTACAGTGTGGGACCAACTTCCGTCCACATAATCAGCTAAAGAAAAGAAATGACGCCAATTGTATAAGAAAATATTCAAGTCAGCTGTAAAAAGTACATACATTTAAGAAAATTAACTCACTTTGGTTGCTTTACTCGTAACGTTCAAACAAATTACATTACTTGTATGTACGCAACTCCAGTCATAAGCTTTCCTCAAGTGATAGCAGCCTTCCACGCACTTTTCGACGCGATCGGTCTTCCTGGTAATTTATTAGTCATAGTGACGATCATCCTCGAATCAAGATTTCATGTGATGCGATACATTTTACTGGCAAGTCTCGCTTTATCAGACTTTCTTCTGTTGGTCCTCGTCAACTCATTCCGCATCAAAAGCATAGCACAAGAACATTGGTTATATGGCCAAACAATGTGCTATCTCAACCCATTCTTTGTCAGATACTTCTACATCAACACGGTTCTTCACTTGCTGGCAGTGTCTTATGATCGATACCTAGCGATCGTCAAGTCGCCTTTGACGTACCATGGCACCATTACAAAAACCAGAGTAGCATTTATGGCACTTATCTGGATAATCCCGATTCCACTTTCCATCGGTCCATTCCTTGGTTGGGGAAAGTACGTTTACAACCCAGAGGTGTTCTTCTGCGAGCAGGGATGGGCTGTGCAGAGTGATTCAGCAAGAGGAAACACGATCGTTTTACCGATCGCGACGTTTATTGTGCCATTCGTGGTCATTGTATTCCTGAACGGGTCTGTGTACAAGGCGGCGCGAAGGCAGATAAACGCCATTGAAAACCAAGTGGCTGAAACTGAAAGCCCTCAGCAGCAAGAGATCGTATCGAGGAGGCTGAGCGACCGCAAGGCAGCTGTCGATGTCACCATCATCATCTCTGCGTTCGTGCTGTGCTATCTCCCAGGCTGGCTCGTGGGCATTTGCCGTCAGTTCGTTCCAGGAATCGATGTCCCGGCCGAGGTAATTCTCGCCACAAACTGTACTTTCTTCGTCAGCACCCTGTGTAACCCGTTCATCTACTCTATCCGTAAAAGAGAATTCCGTGCCGCAGTAAAGAACGTATTCAGATTGATTGGAGTTTGTATTTAGGTTCCATCGACAATGAAACTTTAGGGCCACTACCAGTCACAACGGAGACAAAATATAATTTAGAGACTTGGCACAAACGTCAATGAAAACCTTCGCAGCTTCTGAGAGACAAAATTGTCATAGAACATAATTACATTCACTACGAAAGCAAAGAAGTGGTAGTGACGCTACTTAGAATTGTGGCAAACTCTAAATTGAGCAAAATGATGAATAATAACCATCACCAAGAGGCCATTTTATCAATGCGGCGGTGGACTAACCTGGGTAAAAAGAGAAAAGATGGGCAAAATAGGGCGCGCAAATAGCACATGATAATGTATCCTTTCTCTACTCCATCGCGCACTTCTCAGGTTTTCACGCGTTTGATTTTTTTTTCGTTTAGAGCAGGTTTGCAATGGACTGGAATAGTTCCTTAAAAAAAGACATCAAGAAAAGAACGAGAAATCGAACAGAACACCATATCTAATCTGACTTTTAAGGTTTGCACTCGGGTAAATTAAGGAGCCAAAACACCAGTAAATTAATTTAGTAGTGTTTTTTTGGTTTCAGTTGGTTAAAAACAGTTTCGTCCGACAAAGTAAACCGGCTGTCAACCATTTTGCTTTTTGTTTCAAATTTTGCTTTTCCCCTTGTTTCCATAGCAACTTCCGTATTGCATTTTACAACCTCTATCTGGACTCAATAGGCTTATTAGTATTTCTTATTGACCAATCAGAAACGCCCTACAGTCTGCATGTTGTTAAGTATATTGTAAGCTACAAAACACCGCAGTACAGATAGTCATTTCTAGGGCAATTACCTTGCTTGTTTATCAAGGCGCAAAATGTCATTTTTTCTTGACGAAATATCAAAGTACCATGAGATCTCGACCGTTCACTCGTTTTCAACACACTCTGAGCATTAATTAACAAATAAATGACATGAATGGAAATATATGAAATGACTCATATTTTAAACTGCGGAGAAAGATATGAAAGTGGAAATGAGGTTGATTTCCACTTTCATTTCAAATAATTGACTAACAGTTAATCAACCTATTAAGAGCAACTCCATGCAAATATCGACCAAAGTGCGGCAAGGCTCAAAAAACAAAAATCGCTCTTCTTTTGCATACTGATAGACTTAAGTAAGTGTACAAACGCCATGTAGTTTTTTCTTCGAAAGATCTGTTCGTTTCCGAGAAAAACAAGAAAACCGTTTCAAGCCCCGCCGTCGATTTCGCAAGCCGAAAACAGGGTTGAAATTCACTATGATTCGCTCGACTTGCATTTCAAAACAACCGCGCTAGAAAAAAAGCTTGTTACTAAAATTGTAAGTATAACTCGTCGTTGACCAAAATATGTAACATTTTTAGCATTACAACAGTCTGAGTAATTATAAAAAAGCTAAAGCGTATGTCTACCTGTTGACCAACCACGGAAGGTAGTTGAAAAAAGCGACGATTTTCATCATGTGCCTTTGATCAGAATTTTTCAAGATTGAAGGGGAAAACACTACAAGCATCAAACTATTATGTTATGTTAAAATTATTTGGGGGAAATTATTTTGAGCTTCTCAGAAATTATTTGAAATTCGTGTTACAGACAACATAAAATAACGCCATCCAACACACGAGTCACACGACCACCACCAACAATTTGACTTTAGGTTTCCGTTTACAACGCTGGTAGCCTTGATATATAGAACAATTTTTTTTAAAAGCTCACCTTAACCTGTATCTGTTGTACTTCAAGCTCCAAGTTGTTTCATTTTGCCGTCTTATCACCTATGTTACCGTAGTCGTGATGTCCGCTGGAATGTGTCCGTTGGAGGTGCGTGACAGCTTTCTGGTAATTTCTTCATCCCTCTCTCTCCCTCATTTTCTCTAATGTTTTCAAGTTAACATCTCATGTTTGTTAAAAAATTTGAGAACCCTGGACCTTAAAAAAGCCGTCTATAAAATAAAGCTCGGTAGTTTAACAAAGCAAAGTTGCTTGCTCGTGGATCCGTTCACTTCAATTAATCTCATTTGCATAGGAGTGTGCCTGGGAGTGTGCCAAGGGTCTACGTCCGGTGATATACACGTGACGAGCTTCACCGACTTTCACCCGTTACTTCCAGTACACTGAAGAAGATTCATCTTTTATACTCCTCCCTCTTCAAAAATACTCCAGTTGACATTATTTTACCTGAGAATTATCTTGTTTAATATTTTGACATTTTAGGCATTTGATTAACATTATCAAATTAAATTTAGTTTAATTTGATTCAACTGTTCATTCCCACTTCAAAAAGAAAAAGATTTTTGCATAAACACTGTTTGTGTGCGCTCTTCTTCGATGAAGCTATGGAAGGTTCGTGCTCCTTCGAGTCATTAGTAGGCACTCTGTGTTCGTTTGATAGAAGGGATAAGTAGAGATCAACTGAGATTGTTCCTTTGTCGTTGTCAAACTATTAAAGGGGCTGTGTCACGGCAAGTCCAGTTCATTTTGTTTAGTTTTGCCAATTTCTCGCCCTCAATCGCTATGGAACTTAAAGTAAGCAAAGAAATTACAGTTAAATGACAAAATGAGAGATCCGAGACAAACCGTATGAAATATGTCTCCTGGACATTATTTTTGAAGTTGCAAGCAGCGGGAATCAACTTTGAAAAACTGTTGGGCTGAACAGTTTTCAAAAACCCTGATTTCAATCCGTTTCAATCTTCTTCAGTTTTGCCAATCCGTGGCATCTGTTGTTTCTGTTATGTTATTTTAACCTTCCTTTAAAGTTTTAAGGGGCTATGTTTATGTTTCTCTCAATTTAACGGGCATTTTGTAATTTCCTAATTTGACGTAAGGACGTAACTGGGCATAGGTCGACATGGTCTCTTTCTGGTATTGAAAGCGAAACAGACTTTATTTTAGCTCACAACTGACCAGCCAGACCATTCCCGTCGCAATGATAATTTCCCTTTTAATCAAACTCTTCAGCTAGATCAGTCAAATCCGAAATAGTATGCTCGAAAGAGAACGTTTTTCAGCAAAAACTCTTAGAAAAATCCTATTTCATTTTCAAAATGAATTATTATTATTATTATTATTATTATTATCATTATTAATGGTCCGTCCCTTACGTCACTGGGACAAAATGGACTTCGAAACCTTGCAAAATTGGCTTTCTGGTCTTACTCGGCACAGGTTAAAGATCGGAAGGCACCATCGGATCCTTCATGGCCGAGATTCCGAGGTTGTCTCCGCTGTTTCTTCCAGAACAATCTTCCAAAGAAATTTTTTTTTTTTTGGAAACTGTCTTATTTCAAATGTATTAACAGAAAAAACGTAAATAAGGTTTGTTTCAATTCACGAAAAGTGACATTTAGCACAGCAGAAATTACATTTGTCCTTTATTAAGAAGGCACTCTGAAATAACGCACGTGCAAGCCAGGATTACCCACGTGCAGCCAACAACTGGAAGTTCCACCTGTGAAGATGGGAAGAAAACATGTACACATTTTTTGTTAAGACATCTTTCGATTTGATAATGCCGACGTCTCGAAGCAATGAAAATCTTCACTGAGGCTACCAATTAAATTCTTCATCGTCAAAAATTTTATATTATACGCATGTTTTACGTTTGCTTTTCGCCTGCTTTTAGTGGATCCAGGCCCCGGGCCCCGGGATCTTGACAGCTGTAATCCGATATTACTGTTGAAAGTAATTTGCATACTGAGTCACAAAACGTTCGTATGGGCGCTTTATCCTTCAGATTGACGCTTCCTTCTGCGGTGTCCAGCAGCATTTTGAGACAAAAGTTGTTGACAGATAAGGAAGAGAGGGTTTAGTACGTGTTGAATTAACATAAGCTAACTTCGTTAGAAAGCACGCGTGTTGGTTTATATGAATCTCAAACAGAGTTTAATATAGAATGGTAAACTTGAACAGATGGCAACGGGAAACATTTTGCTGTAAAACTAGACCTAAAACAAAGAATAGGGTAAGTACTTTAATATTTAGAACTTTGTGCGTGAATATTACCTAGCCTGAATTTCATCCGATTACTTCGAGTCGTTATTACTCCCTCAGAAACGTCTGAATCGACCGGCCGTTAATGCCGTCCAGTGACGTCACAACTCCTTAACCTTTCCTTTAATTCATGCAAAAAGTAAAACACGATTTTCAAGTGGCAAACCGAGAAATATCGTTTGGAAATGTCATGTTTAACGTTCAAACTAACAACTGCATGCAGTACAACTCTGAAGCGGTTGTGCTAAATTCTATAATCAAACTCAGTCGCAATCAACACACAGACGGAACACTTACTTCAAAAACACAATGATTTGCTTTAGTTGAAAGGAAGCTATTTGGTCCTCAACGAAGAAGAAAAACAAGGAGACAAGAAAGAAAAGCTAACAGAATCGTTACACTTTACGGTAAAAATAGCAAGAAGGTCGAATTATAACATTGATCTCAGAAAACTTCGCGTCAACAAAATCACCGGCCGCCGAAACCATTCTTCATTCGCAGTTCAATTTAGCATTTCAGTTTCGAAGACAAGGGCAATTTTGCTGTTTAAAATAAAGATTAATCTTATCGAAATGTTTGAACTAAACGAAAGGAGGGGGGTGAATAGGGTTATGCAAATCCGCCGATCCGTGGTATTTTTAGGCCCGATCCGTCGATCCGACTTAATTTTTGTTCAAATCCGAATCCGTGTTACTTTAAAAAGTTTTCGTGGTATATAGAAAGTAGCGTTGTAGCATGAATAAATGAATTACTTAATATAGTTGTTCTGTAATCGCAACAGATGCAGGACTTCATGTTTGAAAAGTTTTCGTTACGGCTTCAAAACATTAAGCATTAGAGACAGAGCTTATAACGTTGCTTCCAAGAATACAGATTTGACTAATCAAATAGTCTGCAAGCTTGCAAAATGAAAGTATCTGGTATTGCGTAAAAGATTTTTCAATAAATTTACTTACTGGCATCACCATGGACATGCTTCTAGTTCGCGCTATTGAGGAATTCGAATTATCGGGATCTCAGTTAACTGAGTAAAAATAACGGAAAAGTGAGGTGAACGTTCAAATTTTGTCTCGTGACTTTGTCCAGTATTTGGAAGCAAATAACCCATTCTTGCTGAGTGGGTAAAACCCAGAGCTCCTGCAAGAGAAAGTGGTAACCTAGTCCTCGACAATCACCCCCCAAAGGGCTTTCGCTAAGGCGGAAGCACTCTTCAATTAATAAGTTCAAAATTTTGCCTTACAGTTATTTGACAATGTACATTAAAAAAAAGTGAGAACAGTTGATAAAAATGGGTTCGAATCCCGTTGAAGTTCCGAAAATTTTTCGGCTTAATTTGCAATTGCTTAAATTTGAATTACCACTGCGACGATCATATCTTCATTTGAAAAAAAAATACTAATAAAAGTATTTAATTTAACTGATTCAAGACAATTTACAATATCAGCAGCCACAAAATGGCGCTTGACAACTTTTGAATCATGACAATGAAAAAACAAAAAATAAATAAATAAACAGATAACAAAAATAAAAAGGTCCTTGATGGGAAAAAAAAACCAAAATATTTTAGAATTCTCTAGAAAGTTTAACCATCACCGTATCTAAAAAGTATCTTATCAACGAAGTTAAAAGGGAGTGGAGTGGCATATGGAAAACGCTATTTTTTCTCCCTTTTCTTCCCTGTTTTGTTTTGTTTTTGTTTGTCTTTTTTTTTTGCTCTCTCACAAAAAAGTAGTTCTCCAAATTATAGGCATTTTCGATCATATTTATTACATTAGACGGTTTTTTTTAATTGGATGGATCTCACTAATTGTTGAGATATCACAGTAAATTGTTAGGTAGCCTGAGCATATAATTTAACGAGATTAGAATGGCATAGGAAAAGAACTATTCAGTATTATAATTTAAAGATTACAGTTGCTTTACAATTTACCTCAAGATAAGAAAATGACAGTAACTCAAAAGACAACAGTTTATACTTAGGGATAAAAGGTAATTAGTTGAGAAATGATTCTAAAATCAAAGGTGCGCTCGTCATTAAATATTCAATTAATCGCAGGGGTAAGTTAAGGTTTTTACTTATTATAAACGATTGCTGTTTTGCAGTGATCAGAGATTGTTTCTTCACTGTTTCTTCTTCCTTCAAAAATGATTTTCATTGTTTCAAAGAGATTTTAAAAAAAACCAAACGACCAAAAAACCCTAAATATATTTTTTCTAAAGAAAACAAAGGTGGAAAAGAATGGAGACTAAGCTTTCAGGAATTTTACAAGATTTTCCATATGTTACTCCCTGCGTTTTAGTTACAGTGTGGGACCAACGTCCGTCCACGTAATCAGCTAAAGAAAAGAAATGACGTAAATTGTATAAGAAAATATTCAAATCAGCTGTAAAAGGTACATACATTTAAGAAAATTAACTCACTTTGGTTGCTTCACTCGTAAGGTTCAAGCAAATTACATAACTTGTATGTACGCAACTCCAGCCATCATGAGCTTCCCTCAAGTGATTGCAGCCTTCCACGCACTTTTCGACGCGATCGGTCTTCCTGGTAATTTATTGGTCATAGTGACGGTCGTCTTGGAATCAAGATTTCGTGTGATGCGATATATTTTACTGGCAAGTCTCGCTTTATCAGACTTTCTGCTGTTGGTCCTAGTCAACTCATTTCGCATCAAAAGCATAGCGCAAGAACATTGGTTATATGGCCAAACAATGTGTTATCTCAACCCATTCTTTGTCAGATACTTCTACATCAACACGGTTCTTCACTTGCTAGCAGTGTCTTATGATCGATACCTAGCGATCGTCAAGTCGCCTTTGACGTACGATGGCACCATTACAAAAACCAGAGTAGCATTTATGGCACTTATCTGGATAATCCCGATTCCACTTTCCATCGGTCCATTCCTCGGTTGGGGAAAGTACGTATACAACCCAGAGGTGTTCCTCTGCGAGCAGGGATGGGCTGAGCCGAGTGATTCCATAAGAGGAAACATGATCGTTTTACCGATCGCGACGTTTATTGTGCCATTCGTGGTCATCGTATTCCTGAACGGGTCTGTGTACATAACGGCGCGAAGGCAGATAAACGCCATTGATGTCCAACTGGGTGACCAGGTTGATGCTGAAAGCCCTCAGCAGCAAGAGATCGTGTCGAGGAGGCTGAGCGACCGCAAGGCAGCTGTCGATGTCACCATCATCATCGCTGCGTTCTTGCTGTGCTATCTCCCAGCCTGGCTCATGGGCATTTGCCGTCAGTTCGTTCCAGGAATCGATGTTCCAGCCGAGGTAGTTCTTGCAACAACCTGTACTTTCTTCGTCAGCACACTGTGTAACCCCATTATCTATTCTATCCGTAAAGGAGAATTCCGTACCGCAGTAAAGAAAGTATTCAGATTGATTGGAGTTTGTATTTAGGTTCCATTGACAATGAAACTTTTGGGGCCACTACCAGTCACAAAGGAGACAAAATATAACTTAGAGACTTGGCACAAACATCAAAACCTTTGCAGCTTCTGAGAGACAAAATTGTCATCTAACGTACGTTCACTGTGAAAGAAAGAAGAGGTAGTAACGCTACTTAGAATTGTGGCAAACTCTTAATCGAGCAGCATGATGAATGATAACCATCACTAAGAGGCCATTTTATCAATGCGGCGGTGGACTAACCTGGGTAAAAAGAGAAAAGATGGGCAAAATAGGGCGCGCAAATAGCACATGAGAATGTATCCTTACTCTACTCCATGGCGCATTCCTCGTGTTTTCACGCGTTTGATTTAATTAATTTTTTCCGTTTAGAGCAGGTTTGCATTGGACTGGAATAGTTCCTTAAAAAAAGACATCAGGAAAAGAACGCGAAATCGAACAGAACACCATATTTTCTCTGACTTTTAAGGTTTGCACTCGGGTAAATTAAGGAGCCAAAACACCAGTAAATTAATTTAGTAGTGTTTTTTTTTTGTTTCAGTTGGTTAAAAACAGTTTTGTCCGACAAAGTAAACCGGTTGTAAACCATTTTGCTTTTTGTTTCAAATTTCGCTTTTCCCCTTGTTTCCATAGCAACTTCCGTATTGCATTCTACAACCTCTATCCGGACTCAATAGGCTTGTTAGCATTCCTAATCGACCAATCAGAAACGCTCTACAGTCTGTATGTTGTTAAGTATATTGTAAGCTACAAAACACCGCAGTACAGATATTCATTTCTAGGGCAATTACCCTGCTTGTTTATCAAGGCGAAAAATGTCATATTTTCTTGACGAAATATCAAACTACGATGAGATCTCGACCGTTCACTCGTTTTCAACACACTCTGAGCATTAATTAACAAATAAATGACATGAATGGAAATGTATGAAATGACTCATATTTTGAACTGGGGAGAAAGATATGAAGGTGGAAATGAGGTTCATTTCCACTTTCATTTCAAATAATTGACTAACAGTTAATCAACCTATTAATCTAACAAAGATAACTTGAATAGCAGTAAATAGGGAATATCTAAGCCTCTTTCACTAGCAAGTAAAACTACTACTAAGAAAAAGTTGATTTGGACCTAAGATACACGCAACTGAAGGAATTCCTGCCCGAGATTCTTGTCTGTCCGGCATTTTTCAGTCTTGAAAACCGTGCACAATTAAGGTTCCAGTAACACTTGCTTCCGTTTTCAAACATTTTGCCACTAATGGGTCATGGCATCCGTGGTGAGTTTCAAGAACCAGAATTCGACTTATCGGGGCAAATTGTGATCAACGGCAACGAAATTTAGTTCGCGTTATTGGGGAATTCGAATTATCGGAGTTTCAGTAAACTGAGTCTGAGTATAAATAGCTGAAAAGTGAGGTGAACGTTCAAATTTTGTCTCGTGACTTTGTCCAGTATTTGGAAGCAAATAACCCATTCTTGCCGAGTGGGTGAAACCAGGAGCTCTTGCAAGTGAAAGTGGTAACCTAGTCCTCGACAACCACCCCCAAAGGGCTTTCGCTTAGATGGAATGGCTCTTCAATTAATAGTTCAAAATTTTGCCTTATAGTTATTTAACAATGTACGTTAAAAAAAATGAGAACAGTTGATAAAAATCGGTTTGAATCCCGTTGAAGTCCCCAAAATTTTTCGGGTTAATTTGCAATTGCTTAAATTTGAATTACCACTGCGACGATCATATCTTCATTTGAAAAAAAAAAAAAGGTATTTAATTTAACTGATTCAAGACAATTTACAATATCAGCTGCCACAAAACGGCGCTAGACAACTTTTGAATCATGACAATAAAAAAAAAATAAATAACAATATAACAAACATAAAAAAGTTGTTGATGGGAGAAAAGCCACAAAATATTTTAGAATTTTTTGGAAAGCTTAACCATCCCGTTTCTAAAAAGTATCTATAATCAATGAAGTTAAAAGGGAGTGGAGTGGCATATGGAAAACGCTATTTTTTGCCCCTTTTCTTTCCTGTTTTGTTTTTGTTTGCCTTTTTTTTTTTGCTCTCTCACAAAAAAGTAGTTCTCCAAATTATAGGCGTTTTCGATCATATTTATTATATTCTACGGGTTTTTTTTAATTGGATGAATCTCACTATTTGTTGAGATATCACAGTAAATTGTTAGGTAGCCTGAGCATGTAATTTAACGAGATTAGAATGGCATAGGAAGAACGATTCAGTATTATAATTTAAAGATTACAGTTGCTTTACAATTTACCTCAAGATAAGAAAATGACAGTGAATCAAAAGAAAACAGTTTATACTTAAGGATAAAAGGTAATTAGTTGAGAAATGGACCTAAAATTAAAGGTGCGCTCGTCATTAAATATTCAGCTGATCGAAGGGGGAAGTGAACGTTTTTACTTATTATAAACGATTGCTGTTTTGCAGTGATCAGAGATTGTTTCTTCACTGTTTCTTCTTCCTTCAAAAATGATTTTCATTGTTTCAAAGAGATTAAAAAACAAAACCAAACAACCAAAAAAACCCTAAATATATATTTTCTAAAGAAAACAAAAGTGAAAAAGAACAGAAACTAAGCTTTCAGGAATTTTACAAGATTTTCCATATGTTACTCCCTGCGTTTTAGTTACAGTGTGGGACCAACTTCCGTCCACGTAATCGGCTAAAGAAAAGAAATGACGCAAATTGTATAAGAAAATATTCAAATCAGTTGTAAAAAGTACATACATTTGAGAAAATTAACTCACTTTGGTTGCTTCACTCGTAACGTTCAAGCAAATTACATTACTTGTATGTACGAAACTCCAGCCATGAGCTTTCCTCAAGTAATAGCAGCCTTCCACGCACTTTTCGACGCGATCGGTCTTCCTGGTAATTTATTGGTCATAGTGACGATCATCCTCGAATCAAGATTTCATGTGATGCGATATATTTTACTGGCAAGTCTCGCTTTATCAGACTTTCTTCTGTTGGTCCTCGTCAACTCATTCCGCATCAAAAGCATAGCACAAGAACATTGGTTATATGGCCAAACAATGTGCTATCTCAACCCATTCTTTGTCAGATACTTCTACATCAACACGGTTCTTCACTTGCTAGCAGTGTCTTATGATCGATACCTAGCGATTGTCAAGTCGCCTTTGACGTACCATGGCACCATTACAAAAACCAGAGTAGCATTTATGGCACTTATCTGGATAATCCCGATTCCACTTTCCATCGGTCCATTCCTTGGTTGGGGAAAGTACGTTTACAACCCAGAGGTGTTCTTCTGCGAGCAGGGATGGGCTGAGCAGAGTGATTCCACAAGAGGAAACATGATCGTTTTACCGATCGCGACGTTTATTGTGCCATTCTTGGTCATCGTATTTCTGAACGGGTCTGTGTACAAGGCGGCGCGAAGGCAGATAAACGCCATTGACGTCCAAGTGGCTGATGCTGAAAACCCTCAGCAGCAAGAGATCGTATCGAGGAGGCTGAACGACCGCAAGGCAGCTGTCGATGTCACCATCATCATCTCTGCGTTCGTTCTGTGCTATCTCCCAGGCTGGCTTATGGGCATTTGCCGTCAGTTCGTTCCAGGAATCGATGTCCCGGCCGAGGTAGTTCTTGCAACAACTTGTACTTTCTTCGTCAGCACACTGTGTAACCCGATCATCTATTCTATCCGCAAACGAGAATTCCGTACCGCATTAAAGAAAGTATTCAGAGTGATTGGAGTTTGTGATTGTATTTAGGTTCCATCGACAATAAAACTTTTGGGCCACTACCGCTAACAACAGAGACAAAATATAATTTAGAGACTTAGCACAAACGTCAAGCAGCTTCTGAGAGACAAAATTGCCATGGAACATACATTCACTACGACAGCAAAGAAAGCTAAAGAAGAGGTAGTGACGTTACTTAGTACATAGAATTGTGGCAGACTCTTAATCAAGCAGCATGATGAATGATAACCATCAATAAGAGCCTATTTTATCAGTGCGGCGGACAGTAAATCTGCGTGGAAAAAGAAAAAATATCGTGCGCGCGAATGGCACACGGGAATGTATCCTTTCTCTACTCCATCGCGCATTCCTCGTGTTTTGCCGCGTTTGATTTTCTCCGTTTGGAGCAGGTCTGTAACTTGCAGTGGACTGAAACAGTTCATGAAAAAAATTAACATCAGGAAAAGAACGAGAAATCGAACATTTTTTCTCTGACTTTTAAGGAGCCAATGTTTTTTTCTTTTTGTTTCTGTTGGTCAATAACAATTTCGTCGGACAAAGTAAACCGGCTGTCAGCAATTTTACTTTTTGTTTTCAAATTGTGCTTTTCCCCTTGTTTCCATAGCAACTTCGGTACTCCATTCTATAACTCTATATGGACTCAATAGGCCTAATTGCCTTCCTCATCGACCAGTCAGAAATGCCATGCAGGCTTTTCCTTAGTATATTGATTATAAGCTACAAAACACCGCCTATAGAGATTTATTTTTAGGACATTCACCCTGGTTACTTTTCAAGACGCAAAATGTCACATTTTCTTGACGAAATATCAAACTACGATGAGATCTCGACCGTTCACTCGTTTTCAACACACTCTGAGCATAAATTAACAAATAAATGACATGAATGGAAATATAAGAAATGACTCATATTTTGAACTGCGGAGGAAGCTATTTCAAATAATGAACAAACGGTTAATCAACCTATTAATCTAACAAAGATAACCTTAATAGGGAATATCTAAACCTCTTTCACTAGCAAGTAAAAACTACTTCTTATAAAACGTTGATCTTGACCTAAAATACACGCAACTGAAGGAATTCCTGCCCGAGATTCTTATCTGTACAGCGTCTTTCAGTCTTGAAAACCGTGCACAATTAAGGTCCCAGTCACACACTTGCATTCGTTTTCAAAACAATTTCCCACTAATGATATATTTTCTTGTTAAAGGTGGTTCTCTCTGTCATCAGAGGGGTTTTCAGCCTCCCGACTATCTGCAAGGATAAATAAATGGTAGTTTAAGTCCGGAGCTCTTTTTGTATGCGAGCCATTCACGAGAAACAATACATAAAGTAGTCTTCAAAACATTATGACTCAGTCAATTCTAAGCGTGTTTACCCTCCAGGGCTAAGAAATGTACAAAAAAGCGGGATGCACGTGCAAATTGTTGTTTTGCCAAACTAAACCTATTGCTTTTTTACCGTTCTCGTTGCCGTCGCCGACGTCGTTGCTTAAGCTCCCTATTAGCCTACGAGCAAAATAAGCCGCGCGAGAACGCGCCACTCTCGAGTCTTCTCTCGCGTGCCGCATCATGCGTAACTTTTCACGATATCCGACAAATGGAGAACTTGTCGCGGGCAATATCTATATCAGCAGCGTCCTTATACCTTTCTCGACGTAAGAATCAGTAGCAACATCGTTCTCCTCTACATTGTTGTGGCTTATTTCTTTATGAACTGATTTGTCTTCCTCATCTGTCATAGGTTTTGGTTCATTTCCTGCTGATTCTAAAATTAAAACGGGAACTATGAGACTCAAGCGACACCTTTCTTATATACTAACCTACTTTTGAGGGGAAATGTGCACGATACCACATACACGATGGAATAATTTGCTACTGATTATTTGGGTGTTTGAGAGCACCAACAGGGACAGCAACGCTTTGTTCAGATTTCACTCGTGACTGGGCCTCAAAGAGGGGATCAATTTTCAAATTTATTAGTCTGTTGGAGAACCTTCCCGGCATTCACCCATCCGAAATTGGCTGGGCTGTTACTGGGGACAGGCAAAAATAGGGAGCTTTAACAACAACGACGGCGACGGCAACCAGGACGTCATAAAAGCAATAGCTTTACTACGCAAACAACAACATTGCACGTGCATCACGCTTATTTGTACATTTCTTTACCGTCCTTGCACGACTACGACGTGAAAATGCGTAATTGCAAGTTTTATGGAGGACGTAAACAAGCGACGACAAATCTCTTTTTCTCTCTCTAAACTTGAGTGCGGTCCTCAAGAAATCAACTCCAGGGAAATTCGTCTACATTTGCCATTTTCACCAAACTGGAATAAACGCGACAAAGATTGAAAAAACGGGAATTCATTTTAAAACTGACGTTTTCGCTGCCGTTGCCGTCGTCGATGCTAAAGCTCCCTAATATATAGCTAATAGCGACCGGCGCGTCCCCAGTAACAACCCAGAAGTCCTTGCGAATGCTAACTCGGCTCAATAGCCATCTCCTTTCTAAAGTGGCGAATAGGCGTTGACCCAAACGAATGATGCACCCGATTAGACAAGCGTCTTGGTAACTACCGTAAAAAAACACCATAGCTAACCTTTCAAGGTTTCATCTTCGGTCCCACTCTTTTCTCTTTGGCCCGGCAAAACAATAACCCTAAGCCTGTATTCCTCAGTCTCACTGTCAGAGGGCTGTTCCGTAGTATCTTGTGTATCCTCGGGGTGGTACTCGGGGGATGACTGGCGCTGTTTGTGGCTGGACGGCCTGTAAGCTTCATTGGCGTTCGGGTCTGTGGTCCACCCTTTGATCATGTGTTTGTGAACATGCGACGCTTCCTCGCAAGGCGATCGCGTATTGCTCAATCTGCTCCGAGGAATCCTCTGTCAAAAAAGCACTTTATTTCAGTTTGAATGTATCTTGTACGAAAGCACCAATTGGCCATACTATTTTTACGTCTCCTACAGGAGACCAGACCGCCATTTTACTTGTTAATCCGAGCCACGCGAAGGTTTCGCCATTTGCCGGGCAAAGGCAGTACCTTCATTTTTCAGTTGTTTTAAGGCCCTGAGTATTGGTCCGGCCCAGAGAATCGAACCCGCGACCTCCTACTCTGCAGTTAAGCGCTCTACCGACTGAGCTAATCCAGCGCGACGACAAAATATAAATAAAAATATATCATTTCTCAGCTTCGTTGCCTGTTTCCAGTCATCCCTGGCGAGTTAACATGTGAGGTCACCCACGCTTGTTCCCAAGCCTTCTCCGCTCACTCCGATAGTTCAAATTAGCCTGGGGACGAGGCTGATGATTTCTGAGGGTAACGGGGTTGTGCGAAGCGGGTATGCTCCCCAACTCGTATAGGGGTGTAATTTGCAGAGTATGTTCTCAGACAGCTTTAGACGGAAAGCCAGTGTTTTGACCTACATAATGCAAGGATCCCTTAGTGCTGAGCACAAAGAGATAAAAGTATCTGTAAGTAAAAGCCAGGAAAGCATTTGATGACAACGTCTTTACTCTGACTATGAACAATAAGTTTCTTGATTAACTTATGAAGGCATGACATAGGCCGCGGCTTGAAGGCAACCTGAATTGTTTGTGGTTCTTCACAACCGCTAAGGTCGTTCACATCACCTAAACAAGTTCATAAATTGTAACAAAGACTTTTCTTTACCTGATCGTATCTTTTAATGAATTTGCAGTATCGTTGATACTCTTTCCATTCTTTAACTCGTTCATGTTCCTTGAGCTCTTTATTCTGAATTCTCCTGGCGAACTCATAATCTAACAAACTCTGGTACTGCCTCTGTTTGAGACTCATAAGTTGAGTCACCGAGTAGATGCGCGCTACCCCCCAAATGTACTGCTTCTGTCCCATGTCCAAGTCCTCGTGATGAAGAAAGTAGTTTGATTTCATAAACCCGGGTAACTCCACTGGCGTTCCATCAAATCTGGTTGGAGATTTCGGTCGTCGTCCCGCCGAGCGCGCTCGATCGCGCTCTTCTTGACATAGATAGACTTTGCTCGGAGGTCGGTTCAACTTCGCTGCAGTTCGTACATCTTCGTTTTGGAACATACGCACGGGCTGGCAGGACACGCTTCGTGAGGTGTACGCTACACTGTGGCTGCTAAGAGACGACCCTGTAAATGAGGAAAAAAATTACTTTGTGCTGTCGCCCACCTCTTTAATGTCTGTTAAACAGTCGCGCTATGATAAGGCCACACCACATCCTCCTCTCAATTTAAACAGACTCGCTTTTGAATGTTTTACGGAGTTCATTTGAAAAAACACAACCTCTGAATTAAATTCTTACCAAAAAGGGGAACGAAGAGCAGGGAATCAACCGGGGAACAGGAAAAAGACAAAAAAATGGAAATAAATCAGCAAATGGGTAATGAAGTTACTGATAAGCCGAGGAAAGGGTTCAAGTTAGGTTTGGTTATCAATTTTGTTTCCCTTCCCGCGTGCTTGTTCCACGTTTTTGTTAAGTTAAGCAGTCTGTCGAAGCAACAATGACTGTTTCATGAAGAGTTCAAGCTCTCATCACGTTCCTTCAGGTAGTTCTGTCCATTGCTCGCTGTCTCCAACTATCTACTAAAATATTCTTTCGCTTCAGGTTTCTTTTCACGATGTCCTTGAATCTTAGCCTAGGCCGTCCTTGATTTCTCTTTCCATCGCGTAACTGGGAATTGATATCCTCTAAATATGTACTCTAGTTTCGCTTTGAAGCAGAGACTTGGGACAAATCGGAAATGGCCTATTCAGGCACGGTGGCGGTGCCGGAGTACAAGATTGAGACCTTGAACTCACGGTGCACAAAAGTGGGCCGGGTCCCTATCTGCACACCGTCTTTTCACACCTTTAGTTCTGGGGCAGTCCAATTCTCTGCACCCGCTATTGAGCTCATTTTTCGAAGTGGCGCCTGAGAGGGCGTAATGGAGCAACTATGTACACAGTTACATATCGGGTACTCAAGCTGTGAACACATCACCATTTTGTACGGGTACCTAGGCAATGGTTCCCAGGCCCCAAGTACATTTGGACAGCCCGTTGGTGAAATTCTCATGATCGGGTAAAAGTTAGTTTAAGTTCAGCTTTCATCAGAAAAATGCATAACAAAAAGAAAAACAGCGTCCAGCTCCTTAGCAACCCGATATCGTGAAGGCCGTTAAACGTCTGTCTAGCATAGTGACGTAAGATCAACTTACCTGGCCTGTGATCTGGAGCAGGTGGCTTTTCTCTTACTGCGCCTGCGCTGGCTGCTCTTTCAAGGCTGAAAGGGAAGGCGGAAAAAATGTTAAACAGATTCCGAGCTCGGAGAGGTTGCTAGCGACTGCGCAGGAAACTGGTCATTTTCAAATTCTAAAGGCGAATAGGGAAAAATTGATCACAGAGCGCACGCCAGTAATCTCAAAAGAATTTTTCACATTCGAGAGTTCTATTTTTCAAAAATGACCCGCACACTAAAACACCCCCCGCCCCCCGAGTAAATGGTACACAAAAAGCGCTCAATACTTTCTAGTAGCTAGGAGAGGATAGTCCATTTCCGAGACCCAAACCCAAACTTTTCATATGAAAATGAATTTTGTTCGAATTCGAATGAGTTTGAATTAGGAAATTATTTTCGTATCAAAGACTTGGTATTTATCCTCGTTTTGGAAAAGGGGCTTAGAGCCTGTTTTCATGGGGGTGGGGGACCCGCCTGTTCATAATAATCTCTAATTTTAATTTGATCACGTTTGCAAGAGATAGGTGGGGTGACTCGCCACATGTTACCTCACCTACCTGGGGTCCCCCACCTCCATGTAAACAGGCCCTCAGAACGGCTCGAAAAAGTCCTATTACACACATGATGTCATGCCCGCGATATAAGTACCGTATCGTCTTTTCTCGCGTGGAGTGATTTTCAGGCGCGCTCGCGTTTCGCTCGCTCTACTATCCCTGAGGAAAAATGGGCACTACTCGTAGTCAAAACTAATCCTGCAGCAGTTGAACTTTTTCGTTATGTCAGTTGCTTTCTTACGTTACTAGAAATCTGCATATCTGCTGGTCACGTGAGAGAACACGCTCTTTTAGGCTGTGCCTCTACGCTATACTCGACAGGTTTTTATGCGGACAAGAAAAGCTATCCGCCGGATAGTAAAAAACACCCGATCAAACTGCGAGTATCCAATATGTGACTATATTTCAAGATCGGAGAGGCGCAGCTTTACTCCTTTATGGAAACCGCGCGGAAATCACCGCTCTTATATGTGAACAGAAGCGCTAAACAGTATGGTTCTCGTGACAGCGCAAGAGCTATCCGTTATAATGTAAACATGGCCTTGGAACAAATGAGTCCTGGCCCAAGACGTTCCAACGACGACGATTAGCCTGACTCCAGGGTTAGTAGCCATGGCAACCTATATGCTCTGTTTACAGCTAACTCAGGGTTAGAACGCCGGGATGGATATTCCCACATATGGGCTGGGTAGGCATGAGGGGGCCAGATAGGGTACAGATTTTGAGAATCTCAAACCACAATAGAGGGTATCATTTTTGCCCTTGCTGGCACTGTGTTCCGAGTGTGATTCTTAGATAGGGCACCTACATTGTATCAGCTAAAATTCAATTGCATAAACGCCCAGCAAGATGAGAAACAAACCATCTGTTAAAACTGAGCTATCACATGAAAAAATTGCACATGACAAGCGATTTAATGGCGGTTTGTTTGTTGCTATTAATCTCTTAGTTTTTGTCTTTCCGTTGTAGAGGGTGTCATTCAGTTTTCAGGTTTGGGCTTTAAAAAGGGTGTAAATTTTTATTTGTCTTATCCTTAAATTAAAAGGATCAGGGTTTAAGATCATAAGGGTTTTACTCCTATCAAAAATTTATGGTAGTAATATGATAGAATACAACAATATAATATCTGATTATTTATATAGAGCCAAAGTCCATAAGTCCAATGGCACTTTACAAAAATCGATTTAAAAACCTAGAAGATAAACATTATAATACGATAAACAAAGATAAAAATCAGAAAAAAAGTTTTTAAAACAATATAGATAAAATTCATATATAGAATTCATGCATTAAAAAGCTTGCTTAAAAAGGTGGGGTTTTAAAAGAGATTAAAAATTGATTTTCATTTTGATTGTCTTGACTGATCCAGTAAAGAGTTTTACAGTATGGGGCGGGCAACCCCTCCCCCGGGTTTGTATTAACTGTATCCATGGATAAGAGAAGAAAAGAAGAACTACCCAGGGTACCTAACAACATATTAAGAAGCTTGAGTAACGACAACGGAAACGGGAGGGAAAACGTCACCCAAAAAGTGAATTCGCGCTGAATCAAACTTCATCGCTCTTATTGAAACTAATCAAATTTGTCAAATATTGGCGATTTTCCAGTGGTTGAATTCTGAAGGACTGTATCTAAGTTTGCAAATAGATAGAAAAAATCGTTGCCATGTGTTTCCGTCCTCCATGAAACGTGAAATGAGGAAGTTTCACGACGTAGTCGTGCAGTGAGGGCCTGAAAGAAATGTAAAAAAAAGTGTGATGCACATGCAAAGTTGTGCCAACCTATTGTTTTTTTTGCCCTTCTAGTTGCCTAAGCTTCCTATTATCAACCTATGGACGTAACATTTCAACTGACCTTGTTTGCGTCCCGATGGACCTGCTCCCTTGGGCACCTGTTCCGTTGGGTTTCCCAGCTGTGTTGGGCCTCTGAGAAGGAGGGACAGGCGCGCGTGGCGTAGCAGTGTGCCTCGGGGACTTACCAGAAGACGAGCCCGTACTGGAGGGTCTGGATTGGTACTGAAAAAAAAAGAGAGGGTACTTAAATTACTGCAGCAGGACTAGCTCAGTCGCTAGACCGCTTAAATGAAGAGCGGAAAGTCGGCAGCTTGATTTCCGGGGTCGCACCAGTCCTCTGGGTCTTAAAATTATTGCGAAATGAAGCCACTGCATTTGCTCTGCAAACGACTAGACCCTCGCGTGGCCTAGATGAGAACGCAGAAATGGAGGTCCTGTCTCTTGTAGAAGTAAAGGAGTGTTATCATTAAGGACATTCATGCTTGATACATTGACGACACCCAAATGAAGTGCTCATCTTCGTTTTAAAGGCCCGCCCTTGTAGCATCTTACACTCCCTTATGTAGGTTAGTTTTAATATTCGCTCCCCCAAGGTAGTGTCTGGCGTAGTAGGAGGGCGTTGGACTAGCAATCTGGATTTATAAAGCGTACACAAACTATTTTATAAGGCAGCCTTCTTTTTATTAACCTGCAAACACAGACGTATTTCCGGTCGTCGCTTCTCTCCACCCATATTTAGAAGCACTCACCTTAATCCTAGACACGCCAGCGCGCAAGGTCGCGAGGCTTCACTCGAGCGGTATTCTGGCCTTTGATCTGACTGGCCAACATCAAGACAAAAGGTTTTCCGTCGGGGGAATCATTTGGCCGCTCGGGTTTGCAGACGTTATTTTTCGGGTAGAGAGGGAGACGACGACCGAAAATACGCCTGTGTTCGCAAGCTATCTTTTTATGTGCAAGAGCACAATTTATGATCTTAGTTCAAGTTTTAGATTGTAGTTGCTGTTAATAACTCACAACCACCTTCATTTTCAAACTTTAGATCCAAATTTAGAGTTAACAATGATGAGAAAAAGGCGGGTCTTAAAGTTTAAAATATATATTTCTTTAGAGTTCATGCGTTGCGTGCGGATGACGTACTATGCATAATTTTTTTTTCATAAATCAACAAAAAATTAACATCTTGTGAAATCGCTTTTGTAATGTATACTTTCAGATTACAAAACCAACAAACATTCAGATATATTGGAAACCTTCCTCTAACACTGATTTGTGACAAAAAATTGCACATAACAAATACCCGGAATTTCTTTTCTAAAACTGATTATAACAATATGTAAAAGAATTTTGTGTATAATAACTGAAACGTGTATCCCGCTAAGTATTGCATAATAAAAATACCACAAGAATTACTACACAACTTTTCCTGCATAGTTATAATATGTAGGAGTTCATTTGCGGGAAGGATGTAAAAAGGAAGTCAGAATGTCATGTACAACAAGCCAAACTCATAGACCGTCAATGGGAGTTGATTGAGCATGATTCAGGTGAACTAAACCAGTCAGGTTACAACAATAGTTCGCAAAACGCGTCCACGGCGACTATAAGTATTATCTTATAACCTCTTAGAGGCAGGCAAGAGTCAAAATCAAGCACTAATCATAATCAAGGCTTCAGAAAATTTAGGAAAAACTGAGACTCCGTTAGTTAACGAATTGTTGATTTTTGCGCGTGGGATAGCTTTGTACACGCGATGAAGCGAAAAAGAATTTACAAAACCAGATGTCTCTATTACAACAACACAAACAACAAACGAAAAACATAAACAAACAACCTTTGTAGAAGATTGACGTGCATTCTTCTCCAGAGCGATGTTGATCAATTCCTCAACTTGGGTAACAGGAGCTGGCCGTTTCCATTTCGAGGCCTCTTCGCGAACTGTGAGAACTTTTCTTGGCCGAACGCGATATAAAATAGCTCGATCCCTTCGGATGATTTCGACGTCTAAATTGGCATTCTTTTCCTGTATCGCACACCTCACAGGCGCCAGATTTTCACGCATTTTCTGCTGAACATAAAGAGCTTTTTCTGCTGTTTGTGGTAGGGAGTGTTGGTTTCCAAGACTGGCAAAAGGCGATTTTGAATAAATTTTTCTTTCTAGTAATGGATTCCCAGGAGCATGTTAATTAAAAAGCACCCACTTTAAACTCAAATTGCATGCTTCACCAGCTTTCCACAAAACGCTTTTACCTTTTGAAAAGAAATGCATTAAACGAAAAAAATTTCCATCACAAAACCTCCAACAGATTTTCAATAGAGTCGCCTGGAAACCAATTGTTGACACTTCGGCAAAAAGAGGTTTTTACTTTACTATTTGTTTAACTTAATTCCTTTTTCCGATTTTTCACTTAAGGCTAAGAATATCATTTTTGTTTTCTTAGCAGCTGGTTCAAAACGGCTCAATGTATGTAGACAATCTAGTAAATTATAGTAGTTCACTGACCTCCAGGTAAATGCGACGGAAAGGAACCTGGGCTCGGATACCACCTAGATTTCGCAAACATTTTTCCGTCGCTGACCAAAACGATCGCGGCCTCTTGGAACGAGGCAAATATTTCAAGTCTTGAGCATGCGTTGTGGGTGCGTATTACAAAAACAGTGAATTTCATATGTGAATTGAACCACAAAGGGGTCTTTTCCGAGAAGCGGTCCGGACACATCTACGTCTAGAAGAATGCAATTGCACTTTTATATGATACGGGAGTGCTTGCATGCATCGCGAAAATCAGTTGCAGCGGCCGCCAGGAAAGTACCCTGCACATAACAATCCCGGTTGCGCCAAACCCCAAATAGTGCAGGACATACAAAGAACATAAGGATCAGACCATGTGTCAATCAATCGTTTATTTATCCACGTAACGTCTAGGCATGAGCTAAAAAGCTCGTTCAAAATACGTACGTAATACGTATGTGTCAAGTGGTCGCTTACCAGAGGTTAAAAACAATGACAAATTATAAAACTATCACCCCAATGAAGTGGTTGCTTTCGCTTACGAGAAGCGTCGTTCACAGGAGATTCCATCAACAGGGCTTTGATTACAGAGATTTGATGATTTGGATAGGTCTTCGATTATGGAAGATGGTCGCTTACGAGATCGCCTCATGTAATTAAGGTACCGTGTAATCCGGATCCCAGAATCCGGGAACGTTTACCCTGTGGAATTCGGTATCCTGGGCTTTGGAATACGGAATTCAGCTTAAGGAATTCCAAGTTCCACTGACAAAGTGGAATCCGGAATTCAGTACATAGAATCCAGAATTCCTTTGCAGCACACTAAAAACTTTTGTCAAAACACGCTAAGTTGACAGAGAGGATGTTGAAAATTCGGGAAGTCGAAGCGGCCATACCAATCGGAGTCCTGGATAAATACCTTAAAATTATTGAACGTCCACATCCAACAACAGAAGAGGAGCACGCAAGTTACAGCTGGTTTAGCTGCATTGATTAACATGATTGTTGATTTGGAAGGATATATGGGAACTGGACTGGACTGGACTAGACTGGACACGCATGAAGCCGTCGCATGAATTGATGCTACAAATGAATTCACGTTAAATTTCTACTTTGCAAATACAACACAATCAAACAACAACTGACCTTCAAAAGTGAGGTATTGTCAATTGAAGGCTGTAGTCTAAATGTTTTCAATCCTTTTGGCGTAAACAGTGACCGCTCATACTTCTCTTGCATCTCTCGTCGCAGTCGATCCTGCTTCATTCTGAATAGTTAGGAAACAGGACATAAAAAAGCTAACATTGCCATATAATTACCAGTAAACACAAGTCTGTTTAACCCTCGGACGTACACGCAATTTCATACCCCCACCGTGGTACAAGGGGGTGGGGGGGATGGATGGAGCCCCTCCCCGGAGTTTTTGATATATTGCTTTTCGATTTTACCTTTAGTGGTAAGCCTTTGATCTTCTTAGCAAGATGAGGTATATTTTATGGGTGGGGGCGCCGCTGGAGGCCTCAAACGTCACCAACAATGGTCGCCATCCCTTGGCCGCCATCTTAGATTTTACCAAGAATTAGACATCAGGTTAAAACTGCGAGAAATGGTAATTTTTTTCGCTTTACATGAAAAATAACACATAAATAAGCATTTTGCATGATTTTAGCCACAAGATTTACTTTTATTGTTGAAAGAAGTTGAAAAAACATGTATTTTCACACAAAATTGGCTTGTGCACCTGCTACTTATGACCTCATATCTCGTAACCATAGCAACTGTCCTTCACTAAACCTCTCTCAAAATGTGCGCGTGGGATGAACAAACAGCTACTGAAAACATCAGGCTGATGTTTTATTCTCTAGGAACCTTACAGGGCGGGGGGGGGTTGGCATCCACCTTCCCCACCCCCCGTACGTCCGAGGGTTAAGTTTGTAAATGCAAGCAAGCTTGTGTAAGACCGGTTCAAGCGTCGCATACACGCGTCCCTTTCTCTATAGTGATTTAACATTAAAACGTTATCGAAGAAACTATTTGTAACTGACAAAATTAGTTTTGTGTCAAACAAAGATGTTCTCCAAACAAGTCGTTCTCTCGTGCATATGGTTAATAGCGAGCGAACTTAAACAAACACAAGGACAGCGGCAACAAGACCAACGTCAAAGTATAGGAAACAAGGGTTTTATAAGCAAAACAACAACTCCGTGCATCACACCTTTTTGTACATTTCTTTGGCGTCACTACACGACTACAACTTGAAAATGCCTAATTTCACGTCTTAAGGTGATCTTACACGGTACGATTCGCAACGACGATTTTTAGCGCAACACGGCGTTACAATGTCGTAACAATGTTCCTACGCTGCGTTGCACTTAAAATCGTTGTTGCGAATCGTCTCGTGTAACATCACCTTCATGGAGGACGCACACAAGCCACGACGAATTTTTCTATCCCTTTTTAAACTTGAGTATGGTCTCCAAAAATTCAAGTCCAGGAAAACTGGCCTACATTTGAAATTTTCAGGAAAACTGAAATAAACGCGACAAAATTTGAAAAAACACGAATTCACTTTAACAGTGACGTTTTCGCTGCCGTTGCCGTTGTCGTTGTTAAATATTGATGTTACACGGGACAACTCGCAACGACGATGTTTAGCGAAATACAGGGTTGCAACATTGTTGCAATATTGTTTCGAATGGTTTCAGCATTGTTCCAACATTGCAACGCTTCGTTGCGCTGAAAATCGTCGTTGCGAATTGTCCCGTGTAAAATCACCTTAAAGCTCTCAGTCGTATGGTAGACGTAAACACATGAAGACGAAATTTCTTTTCTCTATCAATCTCTATTTCTTTTTTTTCTTTTTTAACTAGGATACACTACTTACGTATGGAGTAAAAAATTCGAAGTGTTGCGATCACGCAAATTTCAGTTTGTGAAATCATATATTGGTTTTTATATATTCATGAAAAATTCCCACTTAACGTTTGAGTTGCTCCTTATTAAAAATAGAGTAAACAGCTATTTGGACCTTTAGCTCTGACAAAATCTGATTAATCTAGTGTCGCGGTTAGTATGTTACATTTCAATGGGTCTGGATCGGGGCCTTGGCCACGCGTTAATTTTGGTTCCTTACGAACGAGGTTGATGAATTGTCAAATAAAAAAACTTTGTTTTACACTTACTCTCCATCCACGTCGATAAGAAGAAAATGCACTAATTTCCAGGAGGTAATCCTTTAATTATCAGGGACGCCTAGCTGTCCCATCTAGATGCTTTCTTGAAACTACACAATACTCTAGCAGTATGGCTACTCTTGGTAGCCTGTGGTATGGAACTTCCTTCATTTATGCAGGGGTTTCAGGGGTTCAGATTTAAGCGGGGAGTGGCGCGAAATGGAGAGAAAGAAAGAGGGAGAGAGAAGGGACCCTACTCCCTGCTCCCTGCCACCAACCCCCCCCCCCCGCTGTTTTTTTTTCCTACTGACACACTTTTCTTCGTACTGTCTCCACTATCTGAATGCCTGGAACAGGCTACCTGGCGATGGTTGTTTTAAAAAAAATGGTTTCTGCACACTGTGCTGAGCAGTGTATAAATCACTCTCCAAAGGTCAAAAAATTGGTTACAGTTACTGTTCATCTGCCCCTGTATTCAAGAGTCAAGTAATCCTGGAAAATTTGCTCCCCCTCTCTTACCAACAATAGCCTAAGGGTAGTTTGTCACTTTCCTCACAGAAAGTATAGCATCATAGCTTTAGCACACATAACAACTGACGTTTTCAGTAGCGGTTCGTTTATCCCTCACGCGCATTTTGAGCTAAGTTTAGTGATGGTCAGTTACTATGGTTACGAGGTATGACGTCATAAGTAGCAGGTGGTCAAGCCTTTTTTGAGTACATGAATGTTTTTCCAACTTCTTTCAGCGGTAAAAGTAACACTTGAGGATAAAACGAAGTAAAGTATTTATTTGTGCGTCATTTTACATGCCAAGCACAAAACATTACCAATTCTGCCGTTTTTACCTAGGCTGGGTTGTTCAAAGCAGGGTTAAGTTAACCCTGGGTTAGTGCAAAAATCACATCAGTTGATAGTATTAAACTCTGTTAATTACATTCGCCCGAACGATCATACTCTGCTAACCTACTTATCAAATGACTCCTGGGTTCAAGCCTTTCTCACCGTGCATGGAGTGATTTTCATGCGCGCTCACATTTCGCTCCCTCTACTATCCCTGAGGAAAAATGGGGACTAGTCATAGTCTACCATTGAAACAACAAAACTGTAAACAACCAATGAAAAATACTCAAATAATTAACAATTAACCAGCACACAAATGCCTTTTGGGTAATTAAATTGAGCTAGTTCTTCACTTACATTAAGTCCCGTGTGAAAAGTCGTGTGGGACCCAGATCACATGAACGTGACAATAAGCAGACAAACATTGATTTTGTTACTTTAACTTTCCTCTAACACTGATCTCGGGCCAAACAAATTTGGTTACATGATCAACAAATGACAATTTTGAGCTTCATAGCAATCAAAAGTGCAAATTATGCTAGCAGTGCTTTTGGCAATGAAAATTGTGCTCGTTATGACGGATTACGCCCGAAAATTATGCTAGCATACATCAAAGCCAAGACCCGTGATGTCACACAACTATCTTATACATTGCGTGACACTTTTTGAGTTTCGGACCATTGCCTGCCTTTAATGGGACAAGCAAATGAATGTCTAATAAACTGTGGCAAAGAACAAGAAAGCGGAAAATTTGATTCGCTCCAGGTAACACACCGGAAAGCAATATCGTCTCATGATTACGCTCGACACGCAGTCACAAAGTGACGATCATTTGTTTGGTTGTGTCGCTAATAACTTCACCAGATCTTAAGAATTTGAGCGGAGAAAGGCTGAAACCAGATCAATCTACTTTAATACTAAGAAAGACTTGTAATGTCCCATTCCAAACAAAGATGAAAAACTCGTCTACGGTTGACAACATTCCGCAGCAAATACGATACTTCAATTTGTTGAATTCTCTCTTCGCCAAGATCATCAAACCGCAATCGAACAAAGCGCTTACGCATAATTCGCCCACCATTACTACTCGCAAGCTATTTATTGAACCACTAGAAATTTTCAGAGCTATAACAGAGAAATTATTGCGGGGCTACTGTTCGCATTAGTCTCGTATTTGACTTTCACTCAAGTAACTATTGTGATACAACTTCTAGATCTCCAAAGAGATTTTCATTTCGATTGCACTACAAATTCCTGTACTGGTAAATATCAGTCTGTTCAATAAATTTAATTTGTATATACTCTCTTGGTATGCAAGAGGCTTTACTCTTATCGACAAATAGATGACTACACAACGAAACATTTTCGTAACCATATGCCGTTCAAATAAACTGGACAAAATGCGCGTCCGCTCGAAGAATATTTAAAAAGAACAGAGATCTACTTACCGATAACGGACAGGTTCCGGCATCTTCTAAACAACAGCAAATTAACGTTACACACCGATATTCGAAGATTCGAAGACAAAAAAAGACACAATCGAAAGAGAAATTCGGCTTATGTGACTTCTGCTAGAGTTACATTGTAATCGCCAGCGCTTGGTTGTCAAGTGGTTTGTTTAGCGAAGGAAACAATAGCTATTGTTGTAAATTAATAGGGTGAGCCAATTAGCCACGGTCAAAAAGTAAACCAAGTTTTACATTTTTCGTAGCTTCTCTACTTTTGGGGTAGAGAGAAAAGGAATGCTTCTGCGTTCCCAAGCTATTTTTCAAATATCCTTCGAAAAAGTTCTTCAATCCCGTCATCCCGACCATAATTTCTGCTCAATCTATCCCGAATTAAAAATTCCGACGGTATATTTTTGACATACAGCATCCCGTCCCTCCAGATTATACATTCAACCGGCCGAATGTCGCCCTCATTTTCATCAGTATGTAAAATACTGGATACTGAAAAACCAATTGGGGACCCACACTGTTGGCCCACAGTGATCATGAGAATTACGGACATGATCACACAAGATGAATTTGCCTGATATTTTATCAAGTTCTCCCCACTACATCTGTAGGAGATGAATAGGGGCAACAAATGAGAATTCAAATTTTGATCTTAGGGTTTAAAGGGTTAAAAGACACCATGGCACTGGTAGTTAAGCAATGCGACATTTTATTAATCTGAATGATACTTAGTTAGACATTTTATTTAATGGCATTTATACCGCCATTCGTGTTACATGGTCTGAGCAAATTAAGAGCAATACTTTAATTCTTCATTAATCTTAAATCTTCCTTTTTGTTTCTCTTATGGGTTTGTCCAAATCAAAAATCGCCCTATTCTTTGAATTTTTCTGTTTCGTCGGCTTCGTACAAACCATTTTGTTGAAGTTTGTCGATTATTATTTGGCAGACCGGCTCGATTCCAATTTTACGGATGTCGAACCATTCACTTCCTCCTTTAAGATAGGGTTTGGTGTTCAAATTCTTGTTTAGAAAAAATTCCTGGGCTACCTTCTCTGCAACGTATTTTTTTCCTTCCGGCACCTTAATTACCAAGGCGTAATCAAGTTCGCCGGCGTTTCCCTGTTGAAGTTGAGAAATTCGAGTTTTGGGATTCTCAGTACAGCCTATTTTTACGTAAGTGTCGGTTTGCGCGGGCTTATTAATCATGTATTCATAGGAAAAATAATATGTTGGTTGTTTGGTCAGCTTCGGGATCTTGAGCATCCCGATTTTCTTGCTCTTGCTGAGCATTTTTTTTTTGAGGCTGTCTTCATCTTGTATTGGTCGTTCTGCGATATCGGTACCTATCAGTTGATTCAAACAAAAAAAAAACAACCCTTTTTATTCCAATACACTGCAAATGGTTTACTGTAAGTAATTTACAACACATTTACATAGTACTAATGTTTCCTTTCTTGTGTGTAACCTGTACCAGGCCCTCAGCTACGACAGCAACGGGTAACGCGAACGCCTTAAAAACAATGGAATGTTTTCACATGTGCATGACCTGATCACGTCCGCCATGTTGGTGCCCAAAACAATTCTGCGATGAGAGTTGAACATTTCTCTCATGTAAAACCTTTCTTTTGTGGCAAAACAACGATAACTCTGCACCTGCATCAGAGAAGGTCCTGCACAACTACGAAGAGCAATAATTTTACTATCTCTGTCTCAGGGATTCGGACGTATGAGTCCCCTTTCACAGTTCACGGTAGAGTCCACTTGACCGAGCCGAGAACGCCTAGGGACTAGACTGACAAAAGAAGTGATTTTCCTACAAAACGACAAGAGTTCTCTCTTCGCAGCACTTGAGGTGGTCCGAGAGTCTTACATACTTTTCTACAGTACACCACACTTGTTTCAAAAGTAACAAGGATGTGGCGAAATCCCGGCTGAAAGCAGGGTCGCAAACTTGCCCTGAGAGATAGAACTGAATGGGATGAAAGTCGTCAAATACTGTATCGAAGTGAGTCACTGGCTGCACTGGATTAACGAATATCTACACCTTAGATAGACTGTCATTTCTCGGCTGTTTAAGTCGCAGTTTTTCCACAAATAATCTACGTTTTAGCCACAGATAGAGACCTCCACACAATAGGAGTTTTTCATCTCTCAGAGTGAAGTTTGTAGTTTTCGTGCACACAGCACCTCTTCCAGCCAAACTACCAGCAAAGTAGTTTACTTGTGTCTGCAATGAGTATATATTTAGTTTTTTGAAAATCCACCTTTTAAAATAGCAAAGCGGAAATAGGGACAAGGTCTTGGAAAATTTTCGCAGGTGGTAGCTTTAGAGGTATTAATTTTCATCATGGTATACCGTTGCCATTGTCATATTATTTACGTTATTTTGCAACAAGTTTGCCTAATGGAGCCCCAAACCATACTTTAAATTTTTTTAAAGCCTCGCCAATGAATAAACCCAAAATAAATTCTTTTATACAAACACCAATGAAATACAAGGCGAACTTTTCCCGCGAAAACCTGATAACTTTACATATGAAAATAACTATGTTTTCTTCACATGTGAAAAGATCATCGTTGCTATGGGTAGATAATAATTCGCGCTTTTGGAGCAAAAAAACTGTTAAAAAGGGAAATACTTTGGCATTTCATTGCTGTTTATTTGAAACAGAATATTACATGGCAGCTTGGAGGTATGAAATTTCGAGACCAGAAGAGTCTTGAAATTGTACATAGAGGATACTAATTAAGTGGCAGCGGGGAAATACGAAATTTCTCTTCTCGTGTTGAAAAATATTTCACGAGTGAGCGCAGAGTAGGTGTGGCTGCTTCAGCGACCACCAGCCTTAACGCTTCATTTAACCTAATATCTATTGTCTCGTCATTAATATATTGTCTCCCGAACCACTCCTTTGAAGTGAAATAACTGAATATGTTATAACTATTTTTGTCAGACAGTCATGGTCGAGCAGTCAAGGATCGTGATATTGGCTTATTTACCAAGCGTGAAGTCAGATGGCTGGACATTAGGATTTCTCAGAGACTTCACCAAAAAAAAAAAGCCTTCTCAATGCCAACGTAACGGGAGTTTATTAGCGGAAATCAGACATTAGTCTGGCCTAAATTCTCGGTTTCGATTAGTTTTTAGACTCAGTTTAAATTGTTTTAGGTCCCCCCGTAAAGTACTCTATAAATGCATTAGTTGGAAAGCATATTGGCAATTTTTTATTTTCATTCAAATTTTATGCTGTGAAAAGCTTGTTTAATTGTAAATATACTTAATTTGACAGTTTTTGTAGACAAAGATTTTTTATATTTAATTTGCTTGCGAGACATTCGAAGTCTCGAAGCTATTAGATTGGCTTCCACTGACCAAGAGTCTTTACCCTTCATTTTCCCTCATGAGCAGCAATTGTCTCATCGCTATTATTTTTGTTCATCTCCTCCTTGTATCCGTCCTTTTAAGACTGAATGTATTATTCATGTCTAAAATTTTCGCCACAGTCATGGTCCAGGATAATATCATGATATATGGGCAGCTGAGACAGTCAGCCGAGAAATCAAACAAATGAATAAACAAAGGATTTGTTTTATGGCCGAAAGAAAATTGTACTTGCTGGAGCAAAACAGACGTTAGAGACCTTAAGATTGAGGTTTTGCGGCATTTCCCGCGAGCGGCAAACCTCAAGAAGTCACGTGACTAATACCTTGGCGTCAGGTTTGCGGTTTTAGGCTCACGTTTGTACGGCTAGATCACGCTCCAGAGGTAAGTGATTTACCCGCAAGGTTTTCTGCACTCTAAAACAGCATACTCCCACGTTTGAGAGAAAATTCTCCGTTTTAGAACTCTTTCGCTAATTGAATATTGAACTATATTTCAGAGAAACGTAACTTTGGAGACGATTCCTCAGCTTAAATAGAAGTGAACGAATGAATAAAAACAAACATGGCAGCTGCGAGCTACAACTTCGCGAATCTTAATTTCTAAATATGGGTAGACGGATAGCGTGAAACCTCTAACCGCAAACCCAGGATCGCCGTTTCCGGTAAGATGACCAAACCTCGATCTTAAGGTCTCTATTAGAGAGGTTAAGGGCGCTTTCCATTTAGTCAAAATTTCCGGAATTTCCGGTTCGGCGGTAAATGGAACACGTTTCGTCGGTTCGTCCCACTGGAAAATTCCCAGAAAAAGTGGAAAATCTAAAAAGGTGGTCCCGTTTTCCCGGTTGGAATTTCCGAACGGAATGTCGTGTTCCATTGACGTTTCTTGTAGCTTGTACCAGTTCCAGGTCCACGGTCGGGCACCCGGCCACGTACCGGGGTTTACGACCAAATGGAACAACTTTTTACCGATCGGAAATTCCACTTTTGCTACCACCGAAATTTCCGGGTTTTTTTCGTAAATGGAAAGCGCCCTAAGCCTCACGCTTTTGTCAAACGGGAAACGCGAATTTGCACGTGACCAAGTTTATCATTAACCGTCGTTACTGTTCATTATTTCAGATAAACTAGCAGTTTTACTCAAGTATTTAATCCATAAGAATTGTTTTGAGCAGTTTTTATTTGCTCATTTTCTATTTTGAGAAATTCTCAACTTGAATCTGACGTTTGCCGTTTTCCCTATACGTGAAACTTAACTTTCTATTAAGATTCAGGTTTACGCCAAATTGTACCACGTGACCAAGTTTCCTCCTTAATTGTCGTCTACTGTTTATTAATTCCACTCAAAAAAAGGCGTTTCACGCCAGTTTTATCCATAAGAATTGTTCTGGACAGTTTTTATGTGCTTATTTTATATTCTGAGAAATTCTGAACTGACTTCGCCTTTTGCAAATAAACGTAACTCTTTAGCTCCCTTATCTTCAAATAATCCTGCACCAGTAAAACATCTCCGGTCTTTTCACAACTAAGTAGTGATGAATAATGCATGTTGCCTACATGGACGACACGAGCTTCGATGTAGTTTATAAAAAAAACAAGCGTCTCGCGCCCTCTAAAAAATAACAATAAGTGTAAATTGTTATTAATTTTATTCTGTGTACTCACGAAGCACTTATGAGTTCTTAAGAAGACTTTCAAGCGCGTCCGTTTGTTTGCGATGGAATTGGAATTTGAACGTGTTAATGGTTTTGAGGAGAGGAGAAA